GTGCAAACATCAGAGTTTGAAAGGGACAACGTGAGAGAAATAGATTTACAAAAAACACTGCCCACTCTGCAGAATATGATTATCATAATAAAACGGAGGCGTTATTTTAATAGTGCATGAAATTGTGCAGATTGCTTGATTATAGAAACTTTTTGTAGAAGTAAGGTATATATTCATTATTCACCCGTTCAGTTGTTGTGGATGTTTACGCGCTCTGGTTCAAATTACATAAACCAAGCATTTGACAGTTGCTGTGAAACATCAAGAACGTAAAATTATAATTTCAGATGAGTAGAATTTCATCAACTGAATTCTTTTGTGTTACTGACCGGAAGATTTCGTTTCATTTTTTCAGATTTACAATTGGACCTAGACGACATCAGATCCTGGTTGGACATGCTACAAGCAAGTAAGGTTCTCCGGGGTTCTGTCGATGTGAACATTTTTTTTTACCTGTTTGGGCTTTCCTGAATTTCATTAGTCAAGTTTTCGTTAGTCAAGTCATTCACCAAAGTAGTAGCTTGTTTCCAAATGACCTTAGGAATCCTTACCCGCAAGAGGTACGTCTTACTCTTCTAATGTACTCAAGGGGATTTTGTATACCGGAAAAAACCCCTATCACTTTGAACATTCAACTCTAATAAACATAAGGTAGAACCCATTAGATGGACCTGGAAAATCCGCATGAATCATCGATATAGTCTATGAGTGCAACTCACTTTTACCGGTGCTTTCGATGCTCGCGCACTATGTTTGATAAGTTTCCCTGTCTTATCAGTATATCTAAGTCTATCCTCATCTAGCATGCACGAATGCATGTCTGGTTACTTCTGGTTACTTTCTTACTTTCTTACTTACTGTTGTACACTGTTTCACCAGCGTCACTGGAATTGCGATAACCCAGAATTCAGTGCCGTCCACGATTAATACGGCACTTTCTGTGTTCTGCTGGGCTTTCTCTAGCCCAACCACTTTAAAAGTAGTCCATTATCAACTTCAAGATAAGTTGTGCTTCACAAGCCGAACGACCTTGCTGGAAATGATTGGTAAACGGCGGATAGCTTATATAAATCTGTGTTCTACACCAGTGACAACTTGAACTGATAAAATCATCTCATTCCCGTTTTTGCGTAAAGTCCGAAAATTGCACCAGCATGACAAAATTTACTTTAGCTTACTGTCACAACACTTGCCCGCTGGCATAGGCTAGCTAGCTCAGTGGTGAGATTTGTGGACAGGTTTGCTTTGCGACAGCAAAACTGAAGCTGATAACGGCTTGTGATTTATGGGCAACGCAGGCTGGTACCTATGTAACTGCATAGGAAATTTCTTGGCCTCAAATTACGGAACAGGTCTGCGACTTCTCATTGCACTTTTCCTCAGAAAATCGGGATAAATCGGGTTGATGAGAGGTCCTGGATGAACTATTATCCGGATCAAGATGACATTTACAATGATAAAAAACAAACTCAAAGTTCTTGATTTGAGTTGGAAAACATCACACTTTTGTGTCTGCAGGATGAACGTGCATTGACAAATTTAGATGAAAACTTGGGCTGTTAATTCTTTACCCCCTGGTGAGAGATGGTGTCGTCCTTATGTCATCTAGCGAACAGCAAATCACAGTGTGGCGTCCATAATCTGTCGGGATTCCGCAATCGTACGCTTAATGCGGGAGGAATCTAGGTACTCTAATAGAGCCTTAATTGCGGGCTGATGATTCAAAAGCCCATGTTCCAACATTCATCGAAAAATATATTTTTGTTAATACATTCTTTTCATTCATTCTGGCAAAAAGCACTTTGGTACAGTAAAAGAGTACTCCTAATGTCTTATATGTTTTTAAGATTATTGGAAAAGTCAAAGCAAATTCAGTAGCTGGAAGTTGCTCCTAATGATCATCCCGTGAAATCATTTTCAATTCTGTAACCATGTGCATATAACCCGTCAGCTATACGACAAACAAATGAGCACAAAACATTTCGCAGCTTGAAAATTTACAAACTGCAGTGACGAGGCCTGTTTTTTTGGATGAGGTGGTTTGTCCTCTGGAAAGTGTTCAGACTGGGCATTTATTTATTACTAGTATGGCAACAAGAATGGCCTTCGTCAGTACAACATTTACTAAGATGTCGTCGTACAATTTCTGTTTGTGCGAAACGCTTCCCGCTGACATACTGTCGCTTCGTCTATACAAAAACAGGAAGTGATTTTCAGGTCCCCTACGTTCACTTATTATTGCCACAATTAAAGATATGGAGACGTCTTGCTCCATAGGTTGTGCACCGTTTCATTGTTCCGGTATACGTGTACCAATTGTCTGACACGTTGCTCGGTAGACTCCCTGGCATAATATTTGTTCACTCAGCTTTGAATCTGCCGGTTGATCATCTTTGTGATACACGTGTGCGTAAGTTATGAGTATTCCATCGAAGAACTATCGCCAAAGATATCTCGAGAATGCTATATAATATGACTAGGACAGGTACCTTCCCGGGGGAGAAAATTATCAGCGAAACGGGCCAGACTGTGCGTACGAATAGGATATGCACACAATAAAACTGGTTGCTGGGATACTGACTCAAACAACGGAAAAGTCGTGTTTGTTTATCAGATAACCAAAAACCACTTTGCTTGCCGCCCAAAACAAATTTTGGACAGTCCAACACCTAACACTCTAAACAGCGGGAACAATCAGCAAGTCATCAGGAAACAAAATCGCTTCCCACGTTCGTAACGACATGGATTTCACTGGAAACAGATTCTTATAACTTCTCAAGGTGATGGGGAACGGCTGAATAACCTCCGAAAGTTCGATCGCCTGTTTTCTGTCTCACTATGCACGGAGTACATTTGGCCCGAGAAGTTCAAGGACAACCTAACCATTAAAATACGAAGAGCTTTGAAAGCAGCCATACTGGAATGAAGAAAGCTCCTTGTTTGAAAAGGCCTATGTGAAGGATCGGCAATAGAAAATGCAAACAACTACTAATCTCACAGTCAATTATTTCTCATCCGCTTTTTTAATTTTTTTTTAATTTTGAGTTTAGCAGCCTGAAGTCAGTTGCTGTGGATTGAAAACACATGAGCCTCCCAATAAACCCAAAGGGTCTTTTAAAGAGAACTGAAAATCGATATTACGACTAGATTTGACGTGAAATATAGAAAGCACGATAGTGAATAAATTTTTGAAGTACAGATTGGCGAAATAAAAAGTATTGTTCTAATTATCAGCTCTCGGCCCTGCTGTTACATAGTGGATACGCTGAGCTCCTTGAAGACTGTAGGGTTGGGTCAGCTTGTCGATATTCTGTGACTTATTGCTGGTGAAAATATTTGCTCCGTCGATTAAGATAGTTGAAGATAAAATCAAGGCCATCCACCGAAAGTCAAAATTTATCAGTTTGTTAGACGCGTTCGCACAACTGTTAGCCTTGTTCCGTGCGTTCTATTTGTTTCGATGATTAGTCAGTATGGTATATGTTGTGTTATATACAGTGGACAGTTCGCAGCTTGTTTATTAAATATCTGCCGCCACTACGTTTGTCACTGTTGTGTTCAATTTTTTCAATAATTCTGAACATTTTGAGTACCTGGATTAAATTTGTGCATATAGATTTTATGAAATGATGATCTGCAATGCCGCAGCTAAATGCCCCACGCTTGTTGGAAACCATCAGCCCTGTGGCTATCTACGTGCTCAGTGGTTCACAGGTACATAGATTTCATTTAAGGCCGCCATTAGTTTGCCCGTTAGTCCACCATTACTCCGACCATTTGATATTCTACGGTTAAGCAAGCGCGTCAAATGATAAAACTCAAAGTGTTTCTTGTTTTTCCGGCTAAATAATCCAATGGAAGGTCCCGTGTGTATCACTTTGGCATCATCATTTTCGGATGAGTGTCTTTTTGCTAGCATGTGAGTGAAACCACAAACACTGTTGAATGTGGATCACATAAAAAAAGACTTGAGCCCTACAAAGCAAATATTAGCGCTTAAAGCTCCAATTCAATAAACCTCAAAATAACTGAAGCATACCCATGTTCGTAGGGTAGATCGTTTCAACTGAGTTGACCAGTCAGGTTACGTGAAATTTGGCCTCACTTGAAACCATCTCCAATTCGTGTATTTTCTTCGGTCAGTGGTTCGTTACTGACTAGCTTATTGACCAGGGTGGTCCAGAAGAAGAATAAAAAATTTTAACACCTGATCGTGTGTGCCAACGATGTTTTAGTTATAGCTTTAAAGTTTATTCCTTCAAAAGTCAAAATATTTGCATTTGCCACGTATGTCCTCGAACATTCTAAACGTCAAGGAGCATGCTGAAATTGTGATAATCTGCGAAACTTCAGATGAGCGGGTAAAAAGCTTAGGCGGGTGATTTGATTGCAGCAGTGGCTCGCATATGAGGGAATAACGTCAAAGCTCTACACAAAATAAAAGACCTCCCCGCGACATATATGAGCTTTTTGGACGCTGGAAATACCAGTGTCATTGTCCTATCCAAAATCATTCTCAGGCTTAATGTGAAACAAAGATCGGTGTCAGGCGATAAACTGTTCCTTTACTGTTGGCCTAATTACGTACTGTTTTTTCAGCTGGGGTCCTTAACAGTCTGTTATCTATCCCAGTGAACATCCTCAGGTTTATAAGGGGCTTCCCTTTACCAAGCGGCAATACTTCAGTTGTATAGATCAAAGAGCATTTCATCTATGAGGTTGTTGAACATTATAGGTGATCCGAGAAAGTTTTTCGTCCTTCCTTAAGCGCATTTTATAATCATGGTCTCCCAGTCAACATTATACTTGGGAACGAGTGAAGTTACTGACTGAAATTATACACTCATTTGCAAATCCTTTCGATGTCTAAGTGGAGGTGAGATGGATTCCAGCTCAACCTCGCCTATAAAATCCCCTAACTGAATGCACTCTATAAAAACCACCACGCCCAATAGAAGATGTTGATCACACTGTTTGGAAAACTGTTCCATTCCTGACAGATCTTCCCATAACCAGTGTGTGGATGACCACCCTAAACAAACTGACCGATGTGCAACGTCGATCAGCATCGAATTATTACCAGGTAAGCACCCATCTAATTTTACCTGCTTATTTCTGAGATTACATTGTGAATAATATTTTGTATTTAAGAACCACATGCGATTGCACTTCTCGACTGCCTTCCTCAACTCCATTAATCAAGTTATTTTGTGATAAACCAAACACGCAGTCCTACCGGTGATAAAAACTCCTTGCTTATAGAGGTAAAAATGTGCTCCTTCTAGCAAGTTTCGTGAAAATTTTTTGAAATTAGTCATGAATAGCAACATCCTCAATGATTGTCTACCCGGGTTCAAATCTAGAATGGTAGAGTGCATTGCTGAAGTGTAGTTTTTTGCATGGAATATTAACTACATCACTACACCAGGGAAGCAGAGAAGCCTACCGAAACTAAGTTAGACTAAGTTAAGTTGGCTTCTTTGTTGAAAACCGTCCATGCTTAGTCCGTGCGATGACCCGGCAGGGACCATCGGAGTTGCCAGACCTTTATTCCTGACTACAACGTTTTCCTCATATTTCAACAGTTTGCCCGCATTCTCTGCCCACGAACAACTGTTACTGATTGCCCTCGTCTGGATAGAGTGAATCCATAGTAGACGGGTTCCAGACGGTTTCGCTGAAGTACGATATACGCTGATCCACAGCTTTGCACGGCACTTTGTGCACAAAATAGTATGCGGATAGTAAAGCGTAAACCAAAGAGAAAATCATTACCGTCATTACGTCACCACAACACGCTGGCTGACCTAAAAAGATGGGTCCGCCATGGTCTGTGGCGTGAACACGGCATATTCAGGATAGGATATTATTTAGCCCTGATGGGACCGATTTAATCTCATGAAATTTGAAGTCCTACTGTGGTGAAACACAGGAATGAGTTACTGCACTAACCTCACTGAGAAACCATTCGACTGCGGGGTAACTTGAAGAATCCCATTGTCCACCGCACACTCATCTAAGAATTTCAGCTTTTACCACCATCGCGAATCACACCAAAATTAACTGTGCGTAAAGCTATTGTCGGGGCCTGCAAGGTTAGGCTTTATAATGCCTTAGATTTCCTTAACGAATGTGAATGTTATCAGGGACTAAATCGTGTTCTGAACACCGCGATAACGATACCAGCCAATGTACATCAACTATAGATCGTTTGCTTGATTCTTGAGGTTTCTTACATTTACATCGAGTGAAGAAATATATTTTCGTGAACAAAGAGGGTTTAGCAGTTTTAAGCCCACTCATTGTGTTCGTAAGGGCACAGCACCAGTAACGTATGGTTAAGAATATTTTTTGAAGAACTGCCGGTTTACTTTTGAATTCAGACTAAACTGAAACAAATTGAACTGCATTCACGGACGTTTACAATGATGACCCAATTACTGGAGCGGATTCAGAGTGCACAGCCACTTGAAGAGGCTGTGCAAACGACAGTCACCCAATATCTCCAAGAGGTGGGTGAATTGGAAAACAGCTGTCACGTCCTTTGGCTGCGTTTACTCGAATTAACCCTGTGCATCGACGAAAACTTTTTGCAGAATTTGAACCTGACTACTTATCTACCACGTATGAGTAGCCAAAACAAAGACCAATATTTCCTCACCAAGGGCTTAGCCGGAAATAGGTCGCCTGCAGTTCCCTATTCAGATGACCCTGGGCAAAAAATACACTGCAACATCCTTATCAACCCGTTGGAGGACTCAAGGCCTTTAATGGACTTAAGGGCGGACAGTGACCTCTTCTTCCTTCCAACGCTAAGAAATGTAAGTTTCCTTTTTGAAGTTTTTGCTAAACATTCCGTTCGTTACTCATCTTCTGAGAGCGCCATTTAGTGAGAGTTACGTGTCACTTAACCCATTCGTCTGATAAATTTTTATTGGAGAATTTAACCATATTTTCCACTGCACATGTTGAAAATCGAATTCCGGTCATTTTTCTCTATCTAAACCTGAACAGGTCCCATCGCTCGGCCAAAACAGGGATTCAGTGTTGTGGGGCGATTGTCTGTGTATATTATGACCAAAAGCTTCATTGGTTAGGGCATGTAGTGAACATGCCAAAGCATTGCCTAGCGAAGAGAGGGCTTTTTCCCGTACCAAATTAGGGGTGGAGGAAGCAAAGTGTTGGCCAACCCTTGACCTGGCACAGGGGTATGAAAGAGATTACTAAACGTTTAGGTGCTGTCGGTTCTCTTTGCCTCCCAGGATGTGGACCAGGTGACCTCCACTGCGCCTGGTCGGAGACATTCCAAGATATGCCTGCTAAACGGCGTCACCGGCGTTTTTTCTGTCAGTTTTTATCCAGATTTCTTGAATGAGTGTCCGCGGGTATGGGCATCGCGGAATAACAAGCTAGCGCAAAGTCCCTTCGCCATCCACTTTTACTCTTTTCTTCACAATATGGCTTTCAAATGAATCATGGCTATACGGCAGCGAAGCATCACTGTTGAACGCTAATATCATGCTGTTGATGATGGCGAAGATTATAAGAAATATTAATTGTGCTTTCTGATGCAAGCCAATCGACCAACAGCAATAACATCTTGTTTCCCACGTTGTTAAACAGTCTGGAGCTGCACCGCTCAGCTGATAATACTCATCAGTAGATACTGGTGTATTCTTGTGCAAACACCAATGCAGAAAACTTGAAAAAATACTTGACCTCTCGTAGTCATGCACACAAATATCATAGTACCAATTGTGAAAAAATAGCTCTTTTCGCTAGAGGTCATATCCATCGATATCTGTCGAAGCATTACACATAACTGATCGACTTCAGGTGTTGAGCTTTGCACAGAAGGCCTGCTGGTCAGATTATTATCCGTCGTCTCATCGGACTCCCCACTCTGGGTAGCTAAATGCAATGCCAACCGTTTCTGTCAACTAGTTTCTACGAGGCTTTTCACTCTGAATATATGTGTATGCACATTTGAGTACTGCTCACGGTCAGTGTGCTTTAGTACCCCCTCCTTCCCTCGTTTCATCATACAGTTATGCCTATGAACATTTCCGTTGCCAGGATGCTGTTGTTCTCACACTTATTTGAGTGTCACAGATGATAGTGACCGTCATCCTGGAGAAATCTTTCCGAGGATGTATGTTGTTAAATTGTTGATGCCAGTCAGGTCACTGTCTGGAAGCGGACTACGATCCCAGCGAACTGGGAAGTTCGGACGAGCTTAGTCGCCGAAATAGGCTCCATAAACATGGTCTGCATATGCGGTGATAATGTTGCCACAAAATCAATCAGAAAAGTTGATAGAGTATGCAGTAGTGTTGGAAGTGAGTTGATGTCCCCAAGATTACTGTCTCACCACTACCAGTAAATTCTTGGTCGAAGCAGGCTCCGGAAATTGCATCTGCGATGCTACTTTTGGTGTATAGATGGGTCACTATACTTTAGGTTTCGTATATTTTGAACGTCTGCAATACACCCGTAGTTTTCAACTGCGTAGAAAATCCAACCCAAGTGTTGAACTCCAAAAGCTCAAGATGGATCGTCGTTCGCAGATTTTGAAGTCCCCGTCTGCCAAAAACTGAATGTTGGTTCGGCAGGTCTGATGTTGGCGTCATTTACTGTCCATTTCCACTTCTTTTTCGACCACCTAGCTCAAATGTCAATGATAGCGGCCCGTGTGTTCCAAAACTTTTGGGACTAACGAGTTTAATTTTATGTGGCAAAAGAGCAATATGTTGCTTAAATGAATGGTTGTGCTTCGCGTACGTGTAACAGTAGTCCTATCTATGATCCCGCTAATATCCTCGTAGGACTGCACGCACACGCACAAGTTTCAAACACGTTTGCTGAATCAAAGAGTTTAGAGTATGGAAACAGGTGACTGTTGGTCGTTACACCTCTACCCAATGCAGAATGGGCTCGCCTGAGAGAAATCTAATGGAAACGCAACGGACAGGGTCGAACCCTGCCTCACGGTATCACTTTTCCTGGCCCTACCTAAAATGAAAGGCGAGTAACCTGCCCGACATTTCGCTCGTCCAGCTTGTCTGACAGCTTAGTTTGTTCTTCCCAACAATACCATCCTATGTACAGGATGGTTTGTATTTCAGATCACCATCCTCTGGCATACGATTATTATCACGATCACTACTGATAAGTTCGATGCAATTGAGCCAACTGTATAGGTTCTAAGTAGGAATGAGCCTATCATACGATCCCATGACAAATACATCTCTGTATGGGAGATAATCGTGGAGAAAGAACAATTCTTTTCAACCGTTGTCTCTCGGTGGGCAATCGTAAACTCTCGCAAACTGCGTCAGTTAACCTGAACTTCACGCTCAGAGCATCCTCCATCATAAGATGTAACTTATCACGTTATTCTAACCCGATGCATACATGGAAATAAGTGTCAGTGAAAGGCGAGACCAGTAACATTCAAAAAGAGGGAACATCACATTCCTCAGGCCTCTTTATGAGCGCGATCGAAGGCTTTTTACTGATGGACAACACAGTACGTCCTCAAGTCTAATGACCTGTTTAAAAACTAGGGCCCAGACATCAGCGTGAGCTGATTTTCTCGTCTGTGACGTGAATCTAAGAGGAAAGCCAGTCTCATTGTCAAAGTACCAAGTCATGATTCAGGAGCGAAGTTTGACCAAGTGTCCGGACAAGTTCACCGGTTGACACGGCGCCGTGGTTAGACTAACGATTGTGTCACACATATTTGCGTAACTCACATGCGCAGAACCGGTCGACTAGATAGAGGATTTCTGGGTCCAAACAAGGTCACTCTTATTTTACCAAAAGGACGTTATGTCTAGGAACAACTACCTGCATTCTCTAGACATCCGAAATGTTTGCATTTTTTTCAGAAAATGTTTACAAACATATTGGTCTGTCGCCACAAACTCATGTGCGGCGAGTGTATGTTTGCACTTAGTTGTTCCACTGTGAAAAAGAAAAAAAGACTTCCAAAGAACCCTATATGTTGCCACTCAAGGGACTGCGAGTTTATTGGAGCAAGTTGACATATGTAGAGTGCAAGATATACGACTGGCTTACTTCAACAATGTTATTAGGCACTGTAGAATTGCACACAGTAATCTTTTCAAAGGGTTGGTCGCAGGTTGCGCCATTCTAGTTCAGTTCATCCCAGACTTTACTCCTGTGTTTTCTAACGCCATCTGAAAACGTTGCTCCGCTGATTATTTCAGATGGATGGTAATTACGTTGTCGAACAATAAGACTGGCTGAACCAACTCAATGTGTGTGCTCACTCGCAGTCTGGTGTCGAGGAAATTCAAAAATACCACTGTCAACAAATCTAACCTTATCAGAATACCATTGTGTGTGCCAGTGATCTGGCAATCACTGGCCGGCACCTAATCATTTATGCCGACAGAAGAAATGTGCATGCCGTGTGATCGACCAAACTATGGATCGAACAGCATCATAGCTGGAGTACCAGGCATTGTCTAGCTTGAACAATGCGGTCAGTAGCGGTGCGGTATGACTGACTACCTTTGATTAAATGCTGCATACAAAGCGATCCGTCTGCTTTGCAATGAGGTAATTTTGCATAACGGATACGTAGGAGAATATCTGAGATGGAAGCTGACTACCTTTGATTAAATGCTGCATACAAAACGATCCGTCTGTTTTGCAATGAGGTAATTTTGCATAACGAATACGTAGGAGAATATCTGAGATGGAAGCGGTAGCAAAGTATATTCTGGTTCCCTTGACGAAACAGAATCAGAAACAGAGTGGTTGTCATCAGGACAGTGTTAGACAGAATAGAGTTAGTCTGACGAGCCAAACTGTCATAACTTAACACGGCCTAAATAAAGAAATCACCTCGGGTGTTAAACAACGAGAAACGCTAATCAATACAAAAAAATATAAAAAGGTATACCTCGAGAGGTAGCATGGTCAGGATGTTTCAAGAAGTCGCGTCAACCTAGTGCGTGAGGTGATTAAAGTAAAACATATCATAGTCTTCTGCATTTCGCTAATAGCTTCAGGACAAGTAGAAAATCGTCCTCCCAAAGCGGGAGGGCAAATATTGCAGATATTCACCAAACTTGCATGCTCCTGAATGTATGGTTTACGGGTTCGTCAGCATGATATGTCAATACACCAGCCATCAGTTCCTGAAAGTCGGGCAGCACCTTCCTGGTTTGCAGTTAGTGGTAAACAGCCTAAGCAAGGATAATTGTTTTGGAAAGATTTATTGAAAGAGCGCATTAAGTACCGGAGAATAAAGCATTAGGCTCCGCACACTGGTTCATCCTATGTTTTATAGCTTCACGACACAAGCCCTTCATAATAAGTTCGGACAGACTCCATCACGCGCGCATCTCGTACTAAATCACTGGAAACTACAGAGAATGAATAACTCTCCGATCCGTCGATATACCATAGCTGCAGTACCAACGATAACAATCAAGTTACGTGAGTAATGAGGGGTGAAACCACAGGCAGCAATGCCAATGAGGCACTTTCTCCAAAAAAAGGGCTCGGCGAGTTTTGAAAACTGGAAGAATTTTCCTCCGTGAACCTGTTGACTCGCCAGTAAGATGACAGCGAATTGTAAATAGGGGTTCAAACGTTAATATTTCATTGTTTGCATGAAACTTACTCTGTGAGAAAAATCTTGGTTATGTATAGTTTGGGGTCTTTATATCAGTTACTTTTCAGCCTTCAAAAATAAAAGCAGCCTCAATGTTGGTTACCACGGTTTCTGAAGTAGACGTTAATGACTCAGTATAACGTGCCTTACAAATCAACACAATAAGAACGTCATCTAGTTGTAGACTATTCCTACACATTTTTCCACAAGCAAACGTGTTCTCTTGAAGTACAGTTAATTATAGACTGATGTTTTCGTTATTTTTTTTAGTTCTTATCGCCAAACGTAGCACACAGAAATGGTCCTGAGAGCGGATTTGAGTCAGAACTCAGTCCACAGTCAAACATTGCCGGAAAATGTCGGCAAACTGTAAGAGGCTGTGCCGAAGTTCAATGGCGTCATTCTAAATCTTCGTTGTATGGCTCCACATGGCCCTCAACCCTGGGTGCTGGCCGTCCAAGTTCATGTATTGGCTTATACTCAGGTGAGTATTGCTTTATTTCTCAACTTTGTTTAGACGTTAAGGACCGATTTCGTGAACTCCTCTGGGAGTCAAACACACCCAATTAATTCCGAGAATTTTTCGTTGAATTGTTTGTAGTGAGTGTTCGCTGTTCATGGGACTTCAATAGACAAACTCAATACCACTGATCCTTTATGGATAAAGACCAAAAATAGAACATAAAACAGCTTTCACCCAGAATTGCTGTCTGTCATGTCAGTAAGAATCATAGCGGTGTGAACGAACGTTACTCTTGTGTGAAATTGACAACAAACAGCGATCCTTATCAGAATTCTCCTGCTTGCATGATTTGTTTTGATAGATGCTTTATATCAGTCACGGAACCCCCGCGAAGTGGGGCCCTGGCCGGTTGTTCGTCATACTAAATGGACCAAGAAGTCACAATTCCCAAATGGGACGTGATAACAGCTTTAAATGAGACAGCGTACGATGTACACTGGAACTACTTAGGTGGTTTTGGAGACCCCGAAGAGTATGAGTCAGGTTCCATATTGACCAGAACGTTAAAACCCGTCCGGCGGTAGCTACTTTCACCATGTGCAGTACAACAGTATTTGGACATCGGTTTCTGTTCGCCCTATTAACCCCTCACTAAACTGCAGTAGATGTTTCATCCCGCTAGTGAGGCTACTCTGTGCTAGTCAGTATTTATACACCTGTGATATCCTGCTTACTACTTGGAGACTATACTGTTCGCTCACGAGCGGCTGACTAGCAACCTGTTTGGTTCGCACCTGCACCGGATATATATATATATATATGAACCTCTAATACAATCATTGCTCTTCTTTGCAATAGCATTGCACGCGGTTAGTCGGTTGCATCTAACTAGGGAAACACCTTTCGATTCCTGAAAAATATGCCACTTAGTCCTCACACTTCAGAGAAACTACAATATTTCCGGGTGCTCGCTAAGTGAGAAATGCACATGAAATTCCACCTTATGAGTATCCTGATCCGCCACCACCAGGAAAGTGCCTATGATTCAGATTTATGGTTTTTATGTTTCCTTCATCTAGCAATGCTCTCCTGCCGCCGGAAGAAGAACGCCCAGCAGCTCAGTCATACAAGATGGTTGGAATGTGCTTGTGTTAAGTAACGGCTGATAAAACGTAGAAGTTCTATGCTTGGTATCACGTCAAATTAAACACTCCTATTTTCTGTAAAATGCCACTAAGTAATTACTTGGTAAAATTTTAGTCGGAGTTGAAGGAGCCTAATGAACGATCGAGCCCTTTTTGTTCGGTGGAAAACCTTCTATCGATAACAGACCCTGTTGCCCTTAGAGGAAAGAGAGTCTTTCGCGTTGTTTATGCGGAAGTGACACTTGTCACACGCAGATCTTCATGAGTTTGTGAATGATTGTTATACCGCCATCATCAGAGAACAATAACACCTCATTCTTGGGTCAATTCCGGTTGTAAATTCCAGTGAGCTATCACTTGATCGTCAGATTAGGCACGGTGTTAGTTTAATAACCTCAGATCCAAAGTCATCAGACACCCGACGAGAAATTATGGCACCCAACTCAGACTGAATACATTATACGGTGTCCCAGTTATATGCCAGAAACGTCTAGCCCACAAAACAAGCATGATCATCAGCTCAGTAGAATTAAACCAACCTGATCGTATAATACTCCGTATTCACTTTATTCTAGAGTCATACGTCCGCTATCAATCTCACTTATCATTAGGAGCTCAAAGCTTAAAGCTCAATTGTGTGTATGGTATTTCCCCATTTTTATGCACAGAAAACTTTAGCCGACCACAGCAAAGCCGCAATCCTGCTATACGTGCGCGAGTATTCCGCCATTACACAGAATCACAAAAGCAGCAAACAAGGCTCATCATATTAAAATAAGTGTCATGACCCCAAAATCAATCACGGGGAAAGTCTGTCAGCTTGGGTTTCATTTATTTAGTGAGCCCACCGGGTGCTTAATGGTGTGCAATCAATCTTACTTGATAGCGTACCGATCTCTGCTTGGTTTATTAATCTGTAATATGTGACTGGCCGAGCTCTTATTGATTATTTATATGCTTGTCTCAGCCGGTCACTGTTTTCAATTCCTCGACTGTTTTTCTGTGGTGCTAATTGGAACCTTCGCCTGCTTTCGCCCCCACATGTATACACTGTAAAATATTTTAATGCCTTCACTTTGCACTAGTCGCATGATAGTTACGCATGCCCGGTCGCTTTCTCCTAAAAACAGCTATGATTTCCGATATAAACACTTTCTGGAAAAGTTTCGTTGGAACGGGTGATGAAGTGTTGATGCGAAGTGGAAGAGTTTAAAGCCAAACAGTGTGCAGTGGCCTTCAGGCGAGGTCCATGCGACTCTTTTTGAACGTATGCAGAGCCCTTACCGAACAAAGTATGTGAGGAGTCCAAGTGAATACCTTGTTCTCACATCTTAAGCAGACGGCTAAGCTCAACTGCCCGCATCGTTTTGCACTAAGCATGTTTTAGACGAGGGTCACGAGGAATCTCGTGTCAATCGGCAATGCTATTATATGTCAATTTCATTTCTGTTTGGAAATGTAGGAATTTCGAATTTGTTTGTCCTTCCTATATTCACGAGGCTTATATAGCCGTTTTTTATTTTTTTTTACCCGGCCCCTCTTATGGTCATATGATAAGTTGGCGCCAGTATTTACCTGTTGCTGCCGATGAGGGCAAGGATTAAGACGGTTGTAGAATTAAACAGCCTAACATACTGAGTAAAAAACCATACACCCCAACTAGAGACAAAAGCTAAAGGGCTTGCATGTTCTTCGAAAGTGGCCCTGAATTCTTACAGACAAATAACGGCGTGACTAATTTGACAAAGCTGAGGCTCTTTCAAGTGCATATGCATGGCCCTTACCACACTTGAACACCTTTTATCCAGGATGTGCCGGACGTTAATTTTAATACATATTATGCCCCGTTGATGTTTTTATATTGTTTTTTATTAAATATAGTCATTGTTGTCAGTAGCAAGCAATACTGGAACACAAATTTACTCCAAGCATAAAAAATAGAGAATCGGTCCATTAAATATGCTCAAACTGCTTTACACGAATGCTGTTTAAATCAGTCAGCTGGATACTTCTAGAGGGAGGTTGCACCAGTTATTCCATTGTGGTGCGGAGTAATTGGACAAATGAACTAAATGGAGGAAGTTTAAACAAAAGTGCTCTGCTTACTTTTCCCTGGTTTTCCATTTCAGTTTGAAGTAATATGAGACGGCTGATCTAATTTCGCTTTGAAAGGACCATTATTTAGGAAACTGCCCGTCTGTAGGTAGACCTTAGAATTTTGTGAAGCCACCGGTGCCTTCATTGGTTTCAACGTCCAGGTGTTCCTCAGCCGCACCCAACAATGTTTTCTCATGCCCAATTTAAAGTTGGGACGACCAAAAGTACTCGAACACACATTGATTACGTCTGAGAATTGATTTCACAAAAGGTTTGCGCAGTAGTAACAAATGAGAAATCTACCAATCTCAACGGTCGACGCCCTAACTTGATTTCAATTGGTTCATGGTGTGCAGTTCCAACCAGTTCGGCCAACGCATGCGTGACTGTGAAGGAGAGTGAGCAAAATAATGTGACTTGTTAGCAGTACCTCGTTTTCGTGAAACTACGTGGTGAGTTTAATTCTTGTGTATTCCTATTAGCGTTAGTGTGAATCGGAATGTCACCTGGGCCTCAGCTTCAGAAGTTTTGCTCTCAGTAGTTCACTGTTTCACCTTTTTTCGTGCATAGAAACTCTCGCTGACGGCAACGCACATGGTCTGAATCGCCAAGCTTTGGGTGAACGAAGCAAGAACTGCCACACACAAGTTGAATTGAAAAGCGCCAAATATCCCTGCGCCATAATGTCTGACACAGAAGCTAAGAGCTATGGTGTCTCACTGCAAAACGAAGTCAGGTTCTTTTCGCTGACAAACCCGTTCATAAACGGGGGAGATGTGGAGCATTTAGGATTGCAAAAAGCTAATGAATTGGAAAAGGTTTATCAGCACAATGGCTTTCAGAAGGTAAACAACGGCAGTGTGATTAGACGTCGTCGAGTGAAGAGAAAACAAGACGTTAGTGGCAAAAAACACCGAAATATTTCAAGATTTCCTCAGTTTGATGCCTCAACCAGATGCCCAGCTACCGCACGTTCAACACCGGTGACGAATAACTGCTTCAAAGATCTGAGTTCGGGGTAAGTGCAAAAAATTTACTCCCACTGCGCGACATTCGTTCACGTTTGTCAATTTCATTAGCCACTGGTTCAGTTCACCTTCATTCATATGAATCTAGCATTTTTATGGGCTTTCTTTTATCTAAACAACATAGATCGTTTTATTGAAGTGGAACGTCATGTTATGCTGAATTTTTACTTCACTGAAGATATGGGCAACGAAAGTGAATGCTTTCAAGAGTTTTGTGAAGAAAACGTTTTGTGGTCTTCCACAAATAGATAATCCATATGGAGAAGAGACTTTTCGTTCCCTTAAGAGGTTGCATCGTTCCAGGAATGTGGTTGAACGGAAGGTTAGTCAGCCTATTCAGAGGTTCGTGCCGCTTTGAAAAGCATTCTTTCGAGGATCACTTTTTCTATTCATCAGGGTAGAAGGAAGCAGTGTTATTGACAGAAAGCAATTGGTTCAAACCAACTAACTGTGACCAAATTAGGCTGTATCAGAGGTAAAATCGTGTTTCAGATAACCCTATCTTAGAAATACCTGACTACATTGCGTTATGTATGCGGTCAGGGATTCTTACTAAAGAAAACATCGGCGCTGGAAATGCATCAAGTATATGGAGCAACTAACTTTGACCTTTTTTATCAGCCTGCCCTTCAAACGTGCACAGAGAATCGATCATATAAGAAGATTTCCGATGCTAATTTTCTGTCCGTTGCAACTTGGTGAGGGTGAATGAAAGTACACGTTCGTCTGACGTGTTTCCGGGCATATGATAAACCTTAAGGTATGTCGGCTGACATGTTCGAATAGATCCTACTGTTGAACTGTGTACAAATAACGAGGTGTATCCTCTATCTCATCAAGCGACTGAATGAAACTAATTGGAAAATCCCATAAAAGTTCTTCAAACGGCCAGATTTTGGTCAGCAGAATAATTTCCGCTGGCTGCCGTGAGCCTAATTGTTCTGTTCATAAATTTAACGACTTGCGCTCGTTGAAATAACTGGCGATATAGGTATCTTGAGGCCAGACTGGAGTGTTTTTATTGAGTCGTTGAATGGACTCCCAGCATTCTAAACCGAATAACTTGACGAAATTTGCGTGATCAGGATCGTCTACGAACGATTTTCTGACCATTCTCTCCTAGTAGGACACTTAGACAACTGAAGATCTATCAACCGTTTCGTACATCGGTATGCGACGGAAATAGCTAAGAGCATTATTAAACAGAAAACGAACGCGAGGAGAATAAAATTTAATAATCAGTGAAGACCAGCAGCGACCAACGATTCCTTGAATGCAAAACACATGGAAGTCAGGAATGCTGGTTGGAACGCAATAAAGGGCAGCTTTGGGTAAATTAATGGTAACATTCACGGGAAATTCCAACGGAGAGAATAATTTGGAGTGTTGGTGAAAAATGCGACCGTACCCCGCATTGGAATGAATGACAGAGTTCACAGAGTTCGCAGAAAATATCACATGCCCAAACCGGATGTAAATATCAAAACCGGATATCAAAACAGGATATTTAGAGATAACGGTTTTTCCCTACAAATCAGNTACATATCAAAACCGGAAATCAAAAAAGGATATTTAGAGATAACGGTTTTTCCCAACAAATCAGGTAGGAAAATTTTATTCCAATAAGAAGAAGCACTGATTGTTACCAAATCACCCACGGAATTTTAAATTGATTGATTTTTAGGCTGTTTTATAAGCATACTGGGGTGCAAGCTCATTGTACAATATGGTTGTTGCAAACTTTACAATACCTTGAATGAACCACCGGGAAAACGTATGAATGCGTTTCCGGATTACAAATGAAAAATTATTTGGTTTAATAAGATTCCAAAGCGCATTATTCTGGTAATTTTAGCAGTGGACATTTTATAACCTGAATCAAGGTAATTTCAGAATTTAGCTTGAACTGGCCTTAACAGCGTTTTGTATTCTTTCGACATCCCAGATGGTGTTTTAAAAACTGTCTGAACAACAAGCCAGATCTGATTAAAAACTCCTTAGCATTTAATTTGAGTGATTTGTGTTCCAATTTGAACGAAAGCGAAAAAATCAGAGTAATTTGATGTGGAATGTATAGAAGCCAGCCATTGAAAAATTTTTTCTGCACCACCTACTGTTTCATCTACACGGCGTAGAACATTGGTGTAGTTTTTTTCCTACCCCGAGTGATTCATCTAAGAGAAATAAAGAGAGCAATTAAATACAGCTAATTAGCTAATCAGTTCTGTAATAAATAAGGTGTAGCAAGGGGAAACTCACTGCTATCGACAGCAGAAGACTTGTAGGATATGGTGGAAAATGATGATTGTGACGAGTAATTTTACGGTAAACGAGTGTAACGGCACGTACCAATGGTAATTTGTCATGCCATTAAATTGGATCTATTTTGGTAGACGAAGAACCGAAATGTTTCTCCGTTAGAAGAATTTACTTCCGCATTTACTACTCACTGCGAAATGGATGCCGTGGTAAAAAAACATCTGATACGCGTGTGGCATTCCACAAGATGCACAATCTAATCAAACTACGCTGAATGCGTCACGAGCAGGGTCACGTGCTTCCACTTGCGTGTGACCTTGCATCGGCACGAGCTTGTGTTCCAGTGATTGAGCGAGTGGTTTGACATATGACTATGGAAGCTGAGCTATGTAGTTCTTTCCGTACGCGCCACTTGCACTGAAAAGCACTTGTAAGCTAGCCACTCGGTAGCAGGTTGTGGATGGCTCGTCGGAAACTGTAAAATTCTATTGATTGGAAAACTACGTTTACTTGATTGTCACAAAATCTACTTTACAATTTACGTAAGTGTGTCACCTTTGTATCCTCTAATAAAATTACAGGCATATTTTACGTATTTCGGATCACTTTCTCAATAGCGATTTTGGCTAGTGTTGACGGACCTAAATATGTAATGATTAAATTTTTTTCTCTCAATAGATCGGATTCAAGTCTCTCAACTTCCTCGACAAACAGTGATATGCCGCCAAGTCTTAGAAGCTCTGAGAATCAACGGGAACCGGAATCTGAGATGTGTACCCACTCGACGAACGACTGGGAAATATGTGAGCCCGCAGCTAGCTCGTTCGAAGAAACTCGATCTGCTGTCGAATGTCAAAGGAATGCTGGAGAGAGCTCACATCATGCTGTCAACCGTAAACCATTCAGTGAGTCCCTCTTTGTAAACTACCTGAATTAGCATCTCCTGTCGTTATTTAGTTAGTGCAAACACAGTTATAATTTATGATGAAAATGCGGTTAGTGGTACCAAATATCTCTGTAGTACAATCATTCATTCAAACGGCACAACTGTCTTGGGATATTTGATAAAATTGTGGTTTATCCTTGGAATTTGGTGGTGTTTTTTAATACGAGACGGCTTTCAACTTATTTTGAAAGTTATATGGTTACCTGCTACTACAACACACAAATCTCATTTACCTGTCAATTCATCGGTTAAACAGGTGGGATTCGTCTATCCCTAGGAAAGACCCCAGAGAAGCTTCCTGTAAGTGCCCGTAGTCTCAAATTATCTAAATTAGCTCTAAATACGCCTTAGAAAATATCCGGTTTAACTTGAAAATATGAACTACAAAGTGCACATTTCTGGTAACTCAACCTACATGTATCTGCAAAAAATCAAGAGGCGCAAGACGTCGAAAGGACTCAACAGCGGAAGCTGATGTGCAACATTCCCATCTCTTTCTGCTCTTTCTCAATGTGCCAAGTTTCCACGTAAATTTTGAAAAATGAGCAATGTACACGCATCTCATAGGCGAACACTAATCTTCTGCAGCTCTCATATGAATTATGAGACGAACAAGGGCAGAAAAACTGCTTCCTGGCCTATTAACTTTTTATGTTAGCAGCTGGTGTCTTTAGCGTTGCATACTATCGAGTTGGTTCTCAATATAAATATAACGATTACCGTTTGCAGCGGTCGTAAAACTCAAGTCATTCAGTGCAGGCGGAGAGTATAGACCAGTTTTGCGTATCATTTCATTACATGTCTTGACATCCTTGCTGTGCACATCTCAGAATTGTTTATCCATTCATTCGGCAAGCAAGTGACATTTCTTCACGCATCCGACACAGATGAATTCAGATGCGGGTAACCGGATGGTATATGAATTACCTGACCGGTTTATGTAGACACCATGTGCGGAATGCACGAAATTTGTGCCGTACAGATGGTCTCTTTTGTTCGTAGTGCTCGAAAATCTCTATGCTCTTCAAACTTTTTAGAGCATGAAAAGCACAGCAGACGAATGAAAACACGTGTGTATTCATGTTACCTGAAATTAGAGGGGGCAAAATACTCTACGCGGTGTGTTGACCTGATTACGCTCACACAGAGTGAAGTCACAAAATTCTGTTTTCCTGGCTGACCATGAGGTGAAATGAATGATACACAATGTGGCTTAAGTTGGCTCTCTCTGGCTGGATTGGTCCGATAAAACTAACTTACCATAGTTTTAGCACATGAGCCTTCGTCGTGGTACAAAAATCGCGAACTTTAGGTTAGACAGTAGCAGGGACCAGGAACAACTCGTTGGAACCCACTTTGATGTCAACATCGATTGTCGTTCACGACAGTAGCCTCAGGACTTTCACCCCATATTTTGGATGTATGGTACGATGGACTGATTTTACCGAAAAAATTTAGTCCTGTCGATAGTGTGGGTAGAAATTAACGCATATTTTCCTGCGTGGTGAACACTATTTGTTTATTATTGTCGATGAAATTTCAAGAAGGGAATCCACGGCGATAGTCACTGTACGCTTACAAACTGGTAGGGATAATGTTACATGGTTTTACAACAACACAAAGGTTATGGACTCATTTTACCTAACAACGATTGGTTTAAGTAAACTATACTGCGCAGCACGCGCATAAAGAAGGTTTGACCACTCTGATTTCATCCATATTTTTATGTCCTCCTCACGGTTTAAGACAAAATTCCATAAACTCAGTGACAACGGGGGCGAAATTGACGTTACGTAGACTACGAATGAACAGACCAAGAAATCTGTCTGTGCTGGTGAAGCAAACTAGAATGAGGTTTCAACCAGCTGTTTGGCATTAGCTAATATTTGTAGATGGGTTCTCTTATTTGAGGTGAAAGATGTGGATGCACGTTTGTAAATGGTATATCTGAATGAACATCTACTTGTTACATAAAAAAGAACCATAGGTCTCTCCTTATTTGGTCTATGTGATGGTCATCTCACTGCGTACCTACACAGTACAGAGCAAGTGGAGAGCTGACAGCTACACTTTCTAACAAGAAACAATAGGAGCCAAGAATTTGTTAAAGCAAACGCCACACTGGGTTTGCTGTGGTTATACTATAGACTTGATCATATATGTGTGAAAGAAAACTTCAATTTTATGTGCATCACAACCATGACTGAAGGATGAATAAACTGAGTCTACAGCTGGCTTACCACAGACATTTGGGGGTGTCTCGCTCCCCGGAAACCCAGTCTAGTAATGCTGAGTTAATGGGAGTATGTATTCTCTTTTAAAATACTACTGTTTCTGACGTAAGTCAGACATTATCAGCACGATCACGTGCCTGAGAGGGCTACGATCTGTGTGGCAATGTGGACATCATAATCTTCTCCTTTTATTGATGACAATCTACTACATCAGCATAAAAAGCTTTTGGCGGTCATACGAATACATTTTGAAAATCCCTGTTGCTGGTTCATCGTGTGACCTATTTCATGCAATGCACTCACATTGACGAACTTTTATTTATGTCGAATTCCGATTCAAGTGATACTGGAAATCGGAATGAGGATTTCTAGAGACCAAGACCCACCTATCATACTGCGTAGTCCAGCTTGCCTGCATGCAACTGACCAATGTTTGCTCGGACATTTGATCCAAGCGCACCAACTTAATAGGAATGCAGTTGGCGACAGAAAACCGAACTTCACGATGGCAGGCGTCCGTCTAGTGGCAATAAGTCCAGCTGCATCCTTTAAATGACACTTGAGCTTGGTCCAAATACATTGCTGGGAAACTCACAAATATGTTTTTTACATATCACAACTTAAGAATAAACTTAGTTTATTCAGGTTTGCAATGGTCCATTTGTTGGTCTGTCTGACTCGACGCCCTGAACCAGATAGCTATTTACGAAGGCTTGTGATAAATCTTCAAGATAGAGCCGTTCTAAAGTGGTTTTCCATGCATTGGAAGAACCAGTAAGTATCAGTCTACCAATCAATAAGAATCCTAGAAAATATGATGCAGAAATACTCCCAGTAATGTTACCTTCTAACGGTATTCCCGCCGGTAGGAGAGCAATCATCTCCTTTGATTTGCTTGTGATAGCGCTTGTCTTAAAACTATTAGGCATACTGAAAATTGATTTGATAGTGTACCCATCAAAATGTGTCCAAATTTTCATTCTACTCTTCAATTTTCTTCAGCCAACACATTAAAGACATTGTACCTTAAACGAGGTGCGTATATTCGGCTGGGAATAAGAGTTAATCTTGATCAGCCATGCAATGCCTATATGGTGTTCTGGATTCAAAGTTTAAAAAAATTGTGGCTTACGTCGTTCTAAACGGAACCCGTGTGTACGTATTCTCATCCCTCCTGATCCTAATCGAAGCCTCGATAGTCCATAGCTACTAGCTAACATCAGTTTTGGTGCGACAGCGCTTAGTGTGACGACCATTGGGTAATTCTATAAGACATATGGAAATTGAAACTATCAGTCTGTCTGCAATAGCTTCGAAAAAGAATCCAACTTACCCTATTAAAAATTCCCTTTCTGCCAGAGGTCCCCTCAAATAGAAAATCAAGAAGGAAGAGGGCACGGCTAATTCATTCATCACCCACCCTACCGCACGACCTTCTTACAAATTCCGAATGCGCGTCACAAAGGAATGCGATTCGCACTATGCAAGAAAAACTGAAACATGCAAGAATTACTCCGAGTTATACCATCCCCAACGTGAAGCGTTACACTGATCCAGAGGCTACCACAAGCAGTAATTCTTCACTTGCTGGGGACGCAAGTGAACTGGAACAAATGGGCTGGCGTAGGCAAATTCGATCTTTCCTTGATGCCGCCTCACGAGCAGAAGCCATGATTCGCAGCCAGCGTGGATCTGATAGTTTGAAGCAGTGGTTGGACAGTTTAAACCCCCATCTAATAAGACCAGATGAGCCCAGTGAGAATCCACAAGGTGATACAGAAAGGCAACGTCTTCAAAGTGGAACGAGCACAAAGAGTTCTATCCTTTCCAAACATTCTACGGATCCTGATTTATCAAATATAAGTCCGTCGAAGGTGCTTGATGTTCATGAGCCCCTGATGAACTATTGGGACAATTATCAAGTAAGTAATTCACAGCTTTATTTGCAATTACATTTTGGTTGGTTATACAGCAATGATATAGACCGTTGACCGTCGCCATTAGAAAGATATGCAGTGGTACAAAGTTGTCCAAAGACTACTGCAGCTAAACGTTATTGCTACACGTCCCTGTCTCATATCAACTTGGGATCAACTGGACTCGTATTAGTAAACCGTTAGTTCAGCATCAATTAATATCACCTTCCTCTGTTTGTTGTTCCAAGTAGCATGGCTCTCTGCCGAAAATTGCCCCTAGGCGAAGTGTTCCAGACATCAGGAATTTTTTTCCTCAATTAGTTTGAAATGAGGGCATTTTCTTATAATTGTTAGACTTGTGCAACGTCAAAACTGTTTCAGAGCCTGTTCACATGTTGATGCATCCGCTAGCTAATAAGGAGCAGCCCTTGAAAATAATCTGTTTTCCCAAACGAATTCCTGATGTCCTTTCTTTTTTCCAAACAGTATTCTAACGGATAATAACAATAGAACTGTCGATTACAAATGTTGCAATCCGCTTTTTATGAAACATCTAATTCGACTAACCAACTTTACAGGACCGTCTAAAATCGATCGTTCAGCCAGTTCTCAGTGATTCGCAATGGCGCCATCAGCCGCACACAAATACATTTATTGTCACACCGTTAATCGATTATTTTGCACCGGATGTGGCTGTGCGTGCGTTCCACGTTAGACGAGCAAGCTGCATTCTCAATCTCCCTCCCACAAGAACCACAAACAGTCAGGATCAGTCCATGTGTTCCAACAAGCATGTCCAAACCTGTAGGTGTGAATCCATCGACCCATGTGTTAGTCGAATTAAGAGTTTGTCTCAGGTAACACCACCTTATGCCGAAAGGCCGAGAGACCTTGTGCAACTCTCCATCCTGATGCGAAGTGGTTAAAAATCTTGAGGATCCCCAGAGATGTTCGAACTCAATGTGTCTGGTTGGTGGTCAACTACAGCGAGATGCTGACCAGCGGTTTGAGCGACTGATAACTAGGAAGAATATAGCCACAGTAATTCTTTAACCATGAAATCATTAGTGTGCGTCAAGCGAATTTTGTGGTGGTTCGAACCCGTGGCCCTACGGTTAGAAGCTAATACAGAACCTTTGGGCCAAGCGTATGAAGCCAGTATAATGATCAACCACCTTGTTAGATAGCGTATGGCGCTAACATTGATAGGTTCAGACTCCATGTTAGTTAACCCTACGTTGACCGGTTCCTTGAACGATGAATTGTCATGTGAAGGGTTTGGGAAACCTGCGACATTTTTTCTTTTTATGAAAAGACTGGTTAAGTTTCGCAGGCTAGCGGGGATACTGGGAAATCTCAACCCTCAAGTGAAGCCAGTCTATAGTTTAGCGCCCAGAGGCCCCATGCAGCTCTTTCGAATTATTGGTGGCGTGCTTCTCATAATCCATGGCTTTCCGGTTATTAGCTGAACAACTTAGTTTTGGATATGAGTAGCTGATCAATAATGTGGTTAATCCGCACTCAGCCGGACGGCTGATGAAACCAGTGCACATCTGGACGGGATAACACGGGTGACCGAGACTAACTCACTTGCTCAAATAGGCATGATCAAAAGGGGATGTACACATTGGTCGTAAATCGGCCAAATGGATTAATTAGCATAGTACCCAAATAAGTGCGCCTCTACGATACAGGCACCAATACCTCTACGATATCAGTAGTCTCATTGCGATTGTAGTTTAGTGAATGATATTTCATTATTTAGCATTTGCTGGTCACTTTGAAGTTCAGTCCCCCTATCACTGCGACTACCTGACAGGCGAACATTCCAACTCGGCCTCAAACAAGTAAACTTCAACCAGCTGACTCACCTGTAACTGTTCAATCAACCTGAACGATGCGTCGTACGAGAAAATATATACATCCCTATTACTCGCTACTGCTTCTATTCTGATACATTTGACTACAATCTGTGTGTCCTTGTACAACAATAGTTTGTCTCGCTCAGACCCCGACTTTCTATTAATCAGCTAACCCTTTTAGATTGTCAGCCAGCTAACAGCAGGATCGCTGTGACCTTAAAACATCAACTTCCTGGAACAAATACGCCTCAGTATGAGGATAGCGTGATACTTGCATTAACTCCATCGTCCTAGTTTTCAAATCAATACTTTTGTGAATGTAAGGAAACATTGTTGTTGAAGCACGGGATTAAACTAACGGAAATATGGGGGCTATGGTCACATGGTGGAGGTTATAAATTTGGAATTGGCCTGGGGACTACTCAAGAGTTTTCACGCACCCTTGTAATTTGTATCGTAACAAACACTTCATTAACTTTAGCAGCAGTAGGGTTTTGGGTCACTTTGCAAGTGAAGATCAATTAATTTCGGCAACCTTTCCAGTTAGGAGGAAGGCAAGGACCCGTAAAAACAACCGGTTGCGTGATTGTACCGTTCGCACTGTACAATTTGATGCATCTGTGTGCTGCTGCATGGATAAAATTCCCAGAAGCTGGGGCTTGGAATAAAACAGAATCAAGGATCTCACCATTTGACCAAATCCTTACGTTCCAATCCATGTCTAATGACACACAAGGCATAAAACTGAACCAAACTATCGCAACAGGTATCCTCTAATATGGTCCTTGCTGAGAATTTTCGAACGGATCCCAAAATTTAAGCAGTGATTTGGACATGCCGGGATGCTTGTGACGTTATTACCTGATATCTGTTAACATTACAAGTGGTGGTTGACGCTTGAATCCCATTGTCTTGCCCCACTTATTAGATCAGCTAGCTAAAACGGCAGGAGAATATTCGCGCTGCTCATTGTTCTAAGTTGCAACTAACCTCTCCATCACCACATTAGTAACGGCGATGGTCAGCTAACCGACTGTCATAAATTCGGATCGCGTTACCGGCTCCCAAATCCTCAGCAATCAATAGCATTCTGAAGCTGAATAGTCGTGGTTGTTTTGAAGAGGCCAGGTGGATAACACAAGTTGCATGTTCTTTTTCCTTAGGGTAATCAGCGGGTGTAACGCAAAACCACTTGAGCTTTGCGTTCTTTGTTATACAACTCATTTGGCTTATTAGAGTACATTAGAGTGAAAATGATTACCGGATGAGTGAAAACAGAACTAGGTTAGCTTATCAAAAGGACAAAATCTACCGGAAACTCTGGAGATACAATGTGGATAGAAACTGACGACAGGAATGCGGCCGACATTTTTCCGGATCCCTATCCTCCAGTGTTCTCAGAAGAACACGAAAAGAATCACCGAGTCCCATTTCGAAAAGTAGGCCTACTTGGCCGCACCTGTTCCCCTTATTTTGCATCCATTGAGGTGACCTTTCTGTGTACCCAAAAGCATTTTTGGCTTATAAATTTCGCGAACGAAACAACTGCTTGTAGCTGGAAATAAACTTTTCACTTGGATTCTAAACGAACTAGCCATCATCTAAACAAATGAAGTTGCAGCTATTGCAAACGTGTGGTTCCATGCGTACAAATTGCAGCTATTTTTGAAAGAAACAGCAGAGCCATACAGTAAATGATAAAGGTATGACAGAGACATGAGCTGGAATGGTTGAGATTTGAATGGACTTAAACTTTATTTTTTAGTAGAACAGGTATCGAACTTCTATTAGTGTATGCCTTGTGGCAGTTGCTTCAATAAATCAATGCAGTTAGGGATCCATTTGTATAGGCCCCAGGGTATCATAGAGCTGTGTTCATATTATTCGTCTGGTCACTCAGTGGACTACAACTCGACAAAGCTGTATAATTTGGTTCAAAGAGATCATAATTGGGGTCACACAATAAAATTCGCGCGAATTCCAACTGGAGACATCGTTCAGCATCATACTAAGCCATCGATCATTCCACTTCCTAGCAACATCCTCTAGTTTTTCCCGTTCGGACTCTATTGCGCTCATAAGTGATCTGGGAAGGATTTTGTACCCTTCATCAGAGCATGTGGAGAGGTCAGGATACAATGCCCCTTGAAAGCATTTCAGTATGTGATTTGTTCTGTTGTACGAAAGTACCAGTGAGGTAAAATTTAAGGAACAAGGTAAAGCTTGTCAACTGATACCAACATACCTGCCAGCGACTGAGCTACCCTTTTCTGGGCTATGTCGTAGTCCTGTAATTATTCATCATTGACCTCAAGAGAGTAACAGTTGAGCCGCATGAGTGGAATCACTTGAGAATGTTGTAGAGGCTCAGTGTAGCAGATTTCTACGGTGGGCGTGTTCGAAGGACTGTCTTGGCACCAGAACTAGTAAGCAAAAGCATCACTCTCATGGGCATTTGCCAAGTCACTGGAAACACATGAAGGTGATTCCTTCAGACCCGATTGTCGATAGGATTAACTGTGAGTAAGGCACATATTTTAGGTTAGCCTCAGCATTTTGTTCACGATGACAGTGTAAAACTCAAAAATACATTTGTGAATTCCATAACCTCAGATTAACATGCGCCTGCGTTTCCTTTCATTTAAGGAGGAGCGTTTGAGATTCTCAATCAGATATACTGATGCAAATTCACTTATTTCAGGTGCCACTGTATTCAAGCTCTAGTGAAACGGGAGCGCGTGAGCCACCAACAACCTATGCAGAAGAATTTCCCTGGGATGACGTTGGAAACCCACTGACTGATCCCAGTCAAGATGAACTTGTGACTGAAGAACCAAATGTGCCAGATAACGTGCCAACCAGTTACAGGCCATTTTGCTCACCCATCACATCTGACACGCATCCGAGACTACATGGCGCCAGCAGCTCGACCGTGGGCAGAGAGGACACTATGGATTTATCCACGACAACCTCAGTTTTGTTCAATCAGAAATCTAGCAGTATGGAAGCAAGTTTCGAGGTTTGCAGTCCATCGATTGTGACGATTGATTCACAAGCAAATGCTGACCAATACTGTCCCACTGGTTCACTTCGACGCACTCCAAGTCCTTCATTGATTTACGGATTACGAACTCACCCTGACGGTGGTTCACAACATCGGATCGATCGAGAACCAGCAAGCCAAACACCTGTGGTAAATGTTTGTTTGGTTTTCGTAGTTTGTGCGAAGTTGGCATACGTGTCCGTGTATGCGAATGAGAAGAATGCACACTAAATTAGCTGTTTGAACATAGTCGGAGTGTAATCCACATAATCGATTTGTTTTCAATGGACTTTTTAGGTGGAAAAAAAGTTCCACTAATGGCACACCATAAGTTGAGAAGGATCACACATAGAGTCGAACAGATCAATAGACTTTTATCTTATTTCGACACCTTATTTCGACAAGCGTTGTGCACTTGACGGGCGGAATGCTTTTCAGGCTAGTTTGCCTCACACCGGCGCTATTGCACATAAGGTGGTTTAAGGTGAATCCTCTTGAAGGATAAAGACAAGGTACCTAGACTTGCAATGGTCTGAGCCCCTTTTGAAATAAACGAAACATTTCTGGTGATGGTGCACACCTTGATTAGGATATGTTATATTTGATGGAATCCGTCAAGACCACTTTAGTGTATTTGCACAGTGAGAATTGTGCCTGGTTGGTAACATTCGTCATTTTTCACTGGACAACTGGACAGTTACTGACTTTGACCAATAAAATTTAGGCAGCTAATATACTCTTTCTGAGTCAGGTAGACCAGTCTGCATTACACTTCCATAAAACGTTTGGAACAATACAAGAGTTTTCGCTTAAAAAACTTTCACCTACGATTCTGTGTTCACAAGGATAAAAATGCCCCCTAGACCAGAAGTACGCCAAAATTTACTGGCATGAAAACTATTGTGCGACTTGTTATTTAATTTTTTGTGACAACTGTTGGGAGTCTGAACCTATAGTTCACGTAGGGGGAGAATTAGGAGCTTCCAAATTCCATCTGTTTCTTTACCTACTGGCAAAGCATACCTACATTGAACTGTGCATACTGTTCTGTGTGTAGACAACTGAACCACCCACACAACATACTGGACACTATCTTGATCCCTCTGCGCATCCTCTTTAAACGTCAGTTTGCGTTTTTGGCCGAAGTGCGAGACCTCGTCTAGGGATACATCAATAGCAGAAACTTCATACTAGTCCAAGTGTGCTTCCACATCACGCGGTGTTACTGCGTCGACGTCTGTTAAACAAACGGTTGCGGATTAACTTCCAAAAACAAGCCTATGGTGTGCTCCAATGGATAGAAAAATGATGAAAACATTTTCAAGTGGTCGAAACGCTGAGTGTGCTACACATTTTGGTTGCAATGTGTCTAACCACTGCTTGAAAGGTTCATACCACCCATATGACAGTTTACTTTCTACACATCGCACAGCCCAGGAACTGACTGATGTTCACCATCCAGTGCGAAGTACGCCATAGACTACTGAGACTAGACTAGACACTACATGTTGACCAGCAAGACTATTATGGTGTGTCCTCCTTTTTAGAGGCTGGTCTGTAGTGGATGCCTAAAAGTGATCCCCTATAAAGAGAGAATTTTCTCGGAGTGACGTAACTGAAGCTCACCTCTGTTAAAAGGTGACTTCTTATAGGCACGACTTTAGTGATTCCACTACACAAAATGCACGTTTGGTAGACCTATGTGTTGTTCCGCTTCGGGTACAGACCGTACGTGAACTCAATCAGTTCGCGATCAAAATACACAGATTTCTAACAGAATTGAGTTAATCCAGAGAGTTTTTTGTTTTAGATGGGGCTGTTTGAAGCATCTCTAAACTATTTGAACAGTCAGGCGGATATATTTAATCTCCTGTTAATTGCAGGGATGGTTTGGCCAATGGAAACGAATGAAGACTTACTATTTTGTGCTTCCTCCGTTGAATGTCAAGAATTGTCCTCTCTAAATATGATACCAGTTACTGTGACGAAAAGTACACTTGGTCAGCCGATATTTAATGTACACTAGATTTAATCTTCCCGTGGCAATTTAAATTTGACGAGGTGATCGAATTAGTGACATTAATCTAATTTTTGCTGGCTGATTTCAGCTTTTCTTTAGCGAGTGGATAAACCACATGCTGAATCGCAACTTCTGGTTTGTTTCAAAGTGTTCTTTTCACGGAGCGATCTGAGTACTGGAACTAAGCTTTTGCCTTCCCAAATGCTAACAAAATAACACTGGGACTAGACAGCCTGGACTCAAATTAGTTTCCTACGGGTTCTGTGGACAGTTTCACAACAGAATATCAGTTTCCTTCTTGGAAATGGAAATCTATTCGCTTTTCTCCTCTCATATCCCATGGCTTTCCTCGCCAATTTATAACACCTTAGTTTGGATACTTTAGTATAAGTGCATGGAAAAGGGTTTTGGGTGGACTTGTGATGGGAGATGCTACAACCAACTCAAAAGAACTCCAGACAGTTTAGTCCCCCATCTTTAATCCTGTATCCTCAGTGAGGCAGTGCTGCTTCTTTCGCTCATTAGGAAAGATAGGATTAACAGCTCTCTCGTATTGAGGCATGTAGTTGTTCTACTTTGTAGCTGTCAACTCACCATCACCTACTATCCATCACTGGAACACGCCCTTGTATAGCTATTGTGTCTGCGCCACTGCAAAGCATTCCAAAACAACTGGGAATCTGAAGTGTCTAACAGTGAGTTCACCAATACATATATACAGCATAAGGGTGTGACACTCTTGTGTCCATACAAGACTGATTGGCAGGTTGGCGTGGCAGAGGAAGCTACTCTGGTCACTAGCTCTCTTACAGCAACCCATATAACATGAGCGGCTCCTCAGTAGTCTAAAAGATATCGATTTAGGTTTATATTACGCACAAGGCTAGTTTCCCGGACTTTTTAATAACTCTACAGCAGACAGGTGTCCTGCTGTGCATAGATATTGAACCCGAGATTACTTCAGTAATGAAGTATAAATGAAATTTGATCACTTCTATGTTAAACTTTCATTTAAACTTTTACTGTAGAGTAATAACTTGAGGGTTTCAAATATATAGAGTTCGGACTTTGTCCTTTGGGTGAATACGGATGCCTTGAAACAGGTAAGGCCCTAGGCTTTGTTAATTTGTTGTGAAAATCAAAGTTACACTGTGAGTTTACCAAGTCAAACAATCCTATTTTCGAATCAAAAAAGGTGGTCTTTTATAGGGAACAGTGCCGGAGTTTAAATACAGATGGTCTGATTGAACGAGTTGGCGTGTATTTGTTTAGAAAACCTTGTGAACCCCGGGCAGCCTTTCCTGCTTGATACCTCTAGATCGAGCTGAATGTACTCCGTATGCTCTAAATTCGCCATTGTAACTACAAATTGATGGATGTAGTTTTTACGTCTTGATCCCGGACTGGCTGCTGCATATTTTGACGGCAACTGACCCTTATATAAACAAGCATTCGCAAGGCTTTCTGGGGCGACGTGAATTCGTGTGCTTTGGACAAAATACAGTGGCTAGTGACCATCCGAGATCAAACTCCACTTCTGCCACAAAATGATTTATCCTGATGTTTTGCTGGAATTATTTCAGCTTGTCTTGATTATCCATAATCTGAAATCTGAGAATGCGCGTAGTGTCAGTGGGGACATACAGATACAGTAAACATCTTTGAGTTCCCATGGTCGATCAGTGGGTGAGACTCACTGGGTGTAAGCAGCGTGGGCCCACTCAGATTGAAGGACGCAGGACAACAAACCATCCTCAACACTGAGTGCTTTTCTAGTTTCCGCTTGCTTCCATACTCCTCGTTTTGATAGCACATATACAAAACTCAGTGGCTTGCAGGATTGAGGAGGCAAAGACTGTGGAATCAAGAGTGTCGTAAGTGGTGGCAATGAACTTAAGTGCTTTCGGCTGTGTAGGTTCAAATCCTCGACATAAGGTTAGACCAGCGAGTCATGTCACCTGGCATGTCTGACTCCCCTGTGTGTAGAAAGATAGCCAACAACTCAGCACGGAAGAAGCAGTTGGATGTACTGCTGTACACGCAACATACAACCAGTGTCCAAAGTATACGATAACAAGTACCACTTGCCATTTCAACAATAGAATTCTCGATACGTATTTCTCCACATAATTAGGGAGCTGGAATACAATTTCTGTAGAAGCTCCGAACCTAATTTGACGTCTTTTTAATTATGGTATCTCCTATCCAAGCCAAATAACTCGGGATACTTTGAATATACAGACAGCAGCCGCGACGACAAAACCTGACCATCCCAATATTATAGACCCTGTCGTTCAGCTGTAGCACCTTTTCGATGCTTAACTACCATGCCACCCAAAGGTTGTACGAGAGCTGGGAGACTGCCAGGTTGCTCAAGCCTAGACAGGGGAAGTTGAGAGATGGAGGTGGGATTCGAACAACGGACCTTCCGGTCAGTAGATTGGCGCTCCAACCACTTAGGCCATCTCGCCCCTGTAGCAAGTACCAGCTGCATATTTTACATGTTTTTTTGGTCTCGTCCTCTTAGATATAGAAACGAACCTGGTTTCTTAAATACGTACAGCATCTTCCTTCGAAAATATGGTTTCAGGTGAACCTTACACCACCACTAGGTTTGTTGCGTATTCTGCTCTCCATTTGCAATGGAAACAATTGAATGGGCACTTGAGCTTTTTAGCTTTGACCAAACCAATCACCCACGGGGTTCTTTGGCAAATTTTCTTTTCGGAGATACTCCCTAGAAACATTGCGATTAGAATGTTTTCCCATGTGCGGCCATGGTAATCCGATCACTCCACAATCAGGCCTATTAAAAATTCAAGGACGGTGGTTGATAGCTCTGCTGCTGTGCTGTGAATGTCTTGTATTCGTTATTGGTTTTTTTTACAGTAAGAATAAATTTGCCGCTGATAATGTAAACTTTTCGAGACACTGTCTTTCTAACGTCCTCCGCAAGCCTCATGGTGAAGTTGGAGACAACAAATGACCGCTCTCAACTGGCCGGATTGTTTAATATCACTCTGTGAACAACATTCATTTTGAAAATACAACGTAACTGGGATCAGTAGAGGATTTAGTCGCCAACGATTTCTAGCGTTCAGCTTAGATCGAGTGCTGGACTCAGGAATTTTCAGTTGAGTTGAAGCAGTGGTCTACTCTTGCTGTTCTCAATTAGTGTGCAGAATTTTACTCCACAGCAGTAGCAAAGTTTTCATGTGAATATAGAATAACCTCTATTTTCACCCTCACAGGAATGTGGTGCAATAACAGAATTACCTCCATGGTGTATTCTGTCTCGATTTATGTTCACGTCAGGTGAAGCTATAAGCATCGTTCTAGCGCTTGATTCGATTTTACCATAACTCCCCGAGATTTTAACAGTGTTCACACACTATCGATGAACGTGGCAGGTGAAACAGGGCGTTGGCGCATACAGTCTGCAATCCGCTGCCCGCGCGTATGGTCTCAATTAAAGCTTGCACGACACTGCGAGTGAACCATTCAAACGTCACACCCACCTAACTTCGGGTTCAACCTGTGCTTCATGAGGACTGAAAAGCTTTTAGTAAATTTTTCCATTGTTCATATGAAACAGAGGAAACCAAAACAAAATTTGAATGCCTATTTTGTTCCGAGACCTCGCGCTGACTTTTCTGTCAAGGTTCGTTCTGCGGACCACAAGTTATACTGAATTTTATAGCGCTGCCAGGGACTTGTGATGTTTTCGAGCATTGTTTTTTTCACCTAGTTCGACTAATAGTGATTTGCACGCGCAAAGCTCATGTGACTAACCACACCTACTTTCCACTGTAAACACCAGGGTACGGATACAAATCAAACGAGGACACCGGTAAGATTCCTGTCACTGGAACCCGAGTATCCAAGCAGCAACAGCACAAGGCACTTCCATACATTGCCACGAGTCGTCCCAAAACCGAGAATTCGGTACAACAGTACAAACATGCAAGAAGGTGGCCTCAATTCTGCACCTATCCGGTGTTCGAGTGCTTTAAGTTTGGAAGAGTTGAAACACCTGAGAAACAAATGGCTGTGTAGTGATATTATTGTGTGGTCAAAACAGCAACTGACAGACCTAATGTGCTCATTGCGTCGCACACTTACTACACCGGTGTTGGCTACTACTGCCTGCAAACACGGTAAGAATTTTCACCTTTTCCAGGTGCATACTGGTTTACTGAATTTGTCTTACTGTCAATAAAATTTATGGAGGAATGAAATAAAGAAAAAGTTGAGGGAAATCTTCGTGGTTCGTGACGGCCCTTTCCTCGACGTAGTAACTGGGATTTTCAAGACAGACCCAAAAGAATTCCTTATTTATGATATTCTTCAACTGAATGCGCTGCAAAGAGGCTGTTTATTTTACAGTAGGACTGGGATTTTCAAGACAGACCCAAAAGAATTCCTTATTTATGATATTCTTCAACTGAATGCGCTGCAAAGAGGCTGCTTAATGTTACAGTAGGTACGATATTCGAGACATCGCACTGTAGTTTCATAGGACAAACTACCCACATGGTTGCTTAAAATCCTCAGACTGACCAACTTATGTCCTACTTGAACCCACCAAAACCAAATTGATGTGCAAACAAATGTGTTTTTTGAAATCTGTCCAATTTGGGCTCATGTAGAACGTGAACTTGACGGATACTCGGGGACTGCGCCCCAAGAATGAGGAACCCGTTCGTGAGCTATTCAAGAGTTTTCAGCAACCAAAGGTGTAGTCTCCTCAATGAAAACTAACAGTTATATTTTGTGATTGTAACAGAAGGCTTTTTGTCGACGTACAATTGCCATATTCTGTGCTTCCCAAAAGGTCAGAAGACCTGATGGCTACTGAGTGAATTTTTTACATTGTATTCTATCAAAACCACCCTCGTTCCATTGAATTCTTTGGCAAACGTTTATATTCCCGACTTTCCAGTGACTTCATAATGGTGGGGATTAGTGATGTTCACTTTTCCAATCAAGAAAGGAAATGATGATATCATGGGTGTCCCTCGCCATAAAGCAACTACACTCAGGTGGCTGAGCTTTGGTCGGTCCGCGGCGTTCCTAGAATATTTACGAATCCACAGAGATCACATGCTATCTGAGATCACGCATTAATTTTTGTCCATAATTTGCCAAAGAAATTGGCAAAAGGCCATTCCGTCAGCTTGCCTGAAAAGTAGCCAAGAGTTCATTCTTCTGGAGGGTGTCCATTACACCGCCATGTCCGTCTACCGAACACTTTGTAACTGTACATGTTCGTTTTTCCGTATGCTCTCATATGTCATGTAAACGAATGAAAGGGTGATGAGTGCAACCGCCGGCATCATTCGGTCTTTCTAGGATTTGTTAATCGACATATACCACGGAAAATCAACAATAAGCTTGTGGTTCTACGAATCGTGTCATCAGTAAGTCTAAAAAAATTGTCAAATCTATATGTTGCTTATTTCCGGAAAGCAATAATGAACGCAATTTTCTTTTGATTTCGTCCTAAGACGTTGGGACTTCCGTCCGAGATGGGGCTCAAACATGGCTTCAATGGCAAAATGACGTTTCCGAAATCATCCGCTCAGCGGAATGGAATCTAAAAGTCCTCGTTGATCACACGTCTTACCATAACAACGAACAAGGGTCAGATAGTTCTTCCAACCAAGGTAGGTTTCCATTCTTAATCAGAGTTTTCCGTAATCCACCTTTCTTTGATTCTCAAACAACACACTGCATTCCCGAAACTACGATATTAGAGTTCTCTCGGGAGGATCGCAAGTTCATCGTGGTACATTTGATATCGTGCGGGAACGTACAGTAGTTTCACAGGTGTTCCTAGAATGCCGTTCACTGCAGCAGTAAGCTGCGGATGAGCTCCAATATGGTGGTGTTTGACTTTAGGATTTGCACAGACTTCTCTCTAAGCCTCCCGTATTTAATCTGTTTCCAGCCATCTACTTTGTCAGTCTGAATTTTGTTGATGTTGTACCTCATCATGTGGCCCGTTTGCTATTTTTGGTGTCACATTGTTTGGTATGTTTATAAATATAGGAAATCATGCTAGTGACTTTCCAATCCAATCGTATAAAACTCAAATCTCAGAAAAAGTAACGTGAATTTGCTCATGTGATAGTTGTCCAAAGGTGCTTATTCACGTGAGGATCAATAAGATTTGTGGCTTTACAATTGTCTAAAAAATCTTGACGACTAAAGTTCCTTTTTTATAAGCTTTCGTAACTACTGATTGGGTTTTCTTGGTGATATTTGACCGCGATATTTGGATAAAAACAATCTTCACCATCAACAGCACATCACTGGTGATCGAATTCTGATGGTTCACTGGATAGCTCTTCAAAATTGACTGTTGCACGATGAGGCAGTGCTTGTAGACTACATGAGGCCCCTATCAATAAGCTTGCTTCATTTGCTTGATTTGAGGCTGATATCTTTGATAAACTGTTCTCAATCGGAGACCAGTCTAGGTGTCTCCGATTAACAATGCCGCCTGTCAACAAAGACTAGGATACGAAATTCGTTTTAGATTTTTCTCTAATAAAGTGACGAACGGACACATGACTAAATGCAATATACAGAGGTTATTTTTTAAAAGATATTGGGATTTTCACGCATTAATTCCAACAAGAGGACCTCGAAGATAGACCCCTTTTTATAGCACATACTATTCTGAAGGGGTTACGGTGATACTCTTTGCTATTCACTATTAAGTAGACAGACGGCATTTAAGATACGTAACACACTCGTTCTGTGTACAAGAAAAACTAAATTTCTTTAGGGTTAAGCATTTCTTGTCCTTTCCTTCCTCCAACCTTAGGGCACAGTATGCGTGAGCAGTCACATTGGAATTGCTGAAATTATCTTATCTAGCAATGTGGGTTGTCCAACACCAAAACCCGGAGGAGACATCCACCCAAACAGAAAACACACCATACCATTATTTTCCGGAAAAAAGAACGAGATTTGATGCATTATCTTCACTCCACGCAGGAACACAATCCGTAGAATTTTTTCGTCTACTCCCACATTCACCCTCATTCAGTGATACTGACTGTCCAGGAAAAGATGCCAACTCACAGACTTGATTATCTACACACTAGTGGTGACTATTTCTACTTTGCTTTTGTGCTATCATCAACTTTAACGATTACGAAGTAAGTATTAGAAACTTAAGGTCTCTTTAAACACCAGGTCACACATCGGTGGCCATCCAGATTTTATTACGAGACTTGTTTACTTCCCAGTGGACTTGTTAAAGTAGAGTGAGAACAGGAAGGGTTTGTACAAGAGTGCAGCATACGTCAAGCAAGGGCCTGGACTATCCACTACGGAACCATGTGAATGTCGTCCACTATCAGACACAACGGCTCGGATGTTGTCAGTGCTTCAATAAATAGGTCTCCATCAAAATGGGACAGTGCGCAATCTTAATAGTCTTTGTAAGGCTTATCCTGGGCAAACAGATTTGGAGTAATTACGGAGGCGTAGGTGCATTCAGTAAAACTTTCAACAACACATTGGTGTGCCTTGACATCAGCTCAACTGCTCCGGCTGCAAACGGTTTCTTTTCCCACAGTCGAAAACTCCCACTCACAGCCCCATCGCTGCTACAGAAGGTGCACGCAGGTATCTCACATACGATAACACTCCCTTGAAACTATGGGTGCGACGGCTCAGATCACCGTCTTGCTAGGCGATAGTGACGGTTAGATCGTTACAAATATCCATGGTACCATGTGTACGGTTTTCTGTTAGGAAAGATTATCCCAACTCCAACTGTGACCACTTTGCTTTAATTCTGTGAGACTAGCCTTTCATCTTTTGAAGGATCACTTGTCCACCGATTAGTAAAAAGCCATGTTGAATGGTCTGGAAGAATCACGCAAAAAATTGGTTGGAAGTGGTTTCTTGCAAGTATTTGTTTTTGAAGGATAAAACTGTCTGTTTTCATCAGTTCTTCTTTACCCGACAGACAAATTCAGGTGACCGAACATTGGCGGCCTGTTCTGCAAGGTAGACTTTTCTACACAGAAACTTGTTACTTGATTATGCTCTGCAAGTTAGACGAAGATGTCACTTTTAAATGCAAACCTCCTGCAAAGGTGTTCTCTCCAGTAGTAGACAGTCGAAGTTGCACAACCATAATCTCACCGCTACGTAGAAGCTTGAAAACTAGAATACTATTTAGTGGTGACAAACTATCGGATCAGTGTCAGCATCTGACAAGGATATAACATAATTGTATGGATTTAGTTGCTTTAGATGGCCTAGATTCTAAAGCTGCTGCTCAGGGCTGCTGGTCAGAGCCACAGGTTTTTGGTACAACTGTACATGGTGTTCTTAATCCCATGGCTTCCTAAAGGAGTTTCCTAACTAGTGCTTTGACAATGGTTTTCATAGTGGATAAGGTGGACCTTTATGGGGAACTGCATCTAAGATCGCTGGAGGGTTGACATAATAATAAAGCATGAGATTTGGTGCATTGTATAAATTGTTCTCAGAATTTTGAGTACTCACACAGCTACTAAATTGTACGATCGATAGAGAGTTTTTCTTCCAAAAAGCAGTACATTCCAGCTATGAGTGGTCTTCAATGGGAAAATATTGTTTATTGCTACCAGGTCTCCGCTTTACCAGTTTCATCAAATTTTGTCCGTTCAGGTGACTCACTTCGCATAACAATTTATCAAACCTATTTTTGCATGCGGAATTTTGAGCTGTGGTGGAAATATATCGGTGGTAGTTATCCTAGACGGATGTGCCAGTCAACAACATTTGATCACCGGCTACCAGAGAGAAAGTGGTTTGAATGGGGTAAAATATGGTCCTTTGGACAGAATCAGCGACCAAACAACCAAAAGGCTGTTTAGAAGCACCAACCTGCCTAAGCATGGGGGCATAACAGTGACCATAGTCACTTCCTCTTTTGCATCAAGTTGCTACGTTATGCACCAATTCCTTCAACTTGAACCGAGAAGTGTACTTCTCTCAAATAAGCCAAGGTTCACTGGTTTGTGCTCAGCACCTGGATTACTGGACTTAAATAGATGGCCAACCAGTAAACCGGAGATAAGATGAACCATCCCTTGGTAGATGGAGTAGCAGTTAATCAAAAATATCAGTAAACGCACCCGGAGTGACACCTTGGTAATTCTGCAAAGGTATGAAAGAAGCCTAGGTTTGCCAACTTGTCCGGTTTTACTCAGGCATACATTCCAAGAAGCCAGGTACTTGTACTTATACAGGATGCTTTATGGCTTTTTTGCGTGACCAGCCCAAGTTTGTGCTTTGGTATGCGCTGTATCTTAAAGCTTATCAGGCCTGTGTGGTTAATAGGCCACTAGTCTTTTACGTGAAAGGCAATTATTTCGCGTGATCTTAAACTGATCTTGTAGCCCATGGAAGGGTATGGTAGAAAAAATATTTCAGCTCTCTTTTCGTCAGGTTCTCACTCTTCAAATGAAAGTAGATGAGCGGCTTCGGAATGCAGTTATCGACCATTCGTTACATGTGAACTAGCGTCATGCAACATCAGGAGACAACTCCTGCCCCTATTGTTGGCATATTTGTGAACTTCGACTTTCCGAGTTCGGTTTGTAATGTGTGCAGGTTTGTGATTGAAAACTGTCGTGCATTCTTGTGTACCTTTACTGTTTCGTTGCTTCGCAGCAGCTAGGCGCAACGTAACAGTCCAGTTTGCCGCAAACGTGGTGTTCACGCGCAGAATTTGGACGCTGCGCAGCGCTTGTATGTGCTAACAAATGGCGTCTATCTTCCAATTCAAAGGACTGAGCAAAGCGTAGTTTTTTAGACATATTGTTAAGTTTAATGCAGGGCAGCTGTTGTTGTGACACCAAAGTTGACCGAAAAAAGAACAAATGATTTGAAATCTGAACGAAGTGGGCGTGCTGTCGAGACAACGCCGCGGTTCGCAGCTTTATTTACGCCCATTAAATCATTCAATATTAAAAATGAGTATGTAAGATTTGTTGACCATAGTGAATCGTGGTATTCAGGCAACAGCTTTAGCAGAAGAGTTGACCGTCTCGTCGGAACTCGGCATGTGCGCCGTCTCTCGGAACCCAAAATATTTCCGTACAAGTCACACGAATAATATTTGGACAAAGCTGGGGGCATGTGCGCCGTCTCTCGGAACCCAAAACATTTCCGTACAAGTCACATGAATAATATTTGGACAGAAATGTGATTTAGTTTTATACCAAAGCAATTCTGAAGTCGGCAGGGCTGACCCTGCGAGTGTCTTTTTAGTCGTGGAGGGTTTGATAGCGTCGGCGGTATTTTTGTAAAGCCCAAGCTATTAACCTTGATGTGAAGTGTCTATCTGTTCACTGAATTAAGAGCTTCCGTGCGATTCCGTTTTTTTTGGCATTTTCTTGCGGCTTAACTATCTTAAATATAAGGTCTATCGGGTTGCATTCGCTCCAAAAAGTCCACTTCTTTTCCCATAAAACGTTTACTCCAGAATATCAGCGTTAAGTTCTTTGAGCGGAAAACGTGCCAGGATTTATCCTTTCCTACAAACAAGGCATATTCCTTGATAATTGTTCATTTTCCCTCGGCTCTTCTTTTATTTGGAAACCGGTATGACTTTCGCATTTACGATTATTCCTGGAACATTTTTCGTTTTGCGGATTGTGCGTTACAAAAGAAGTATTTTGCTTTCATTTAGTCCCATCCAAGCCGAACACTTTATTAAATGGTCCGTCTTTTCCAAAGGGTATTGCATTTTTCAATTTAATCGTCGCTCTACACAGAAAGTTTCCGCACTCAAAAGAACTTTATGCTGGAAAAATGGGTGGAGGCCACAGCAGTTCCGGACAGTTTATAAAAAGTTCGTGGTTAATTTAAAGAGTGCACCTAGTGAATGCGTAATAGAACATGGCAACCGCATGATGAGTAGCAATGAAAATTCGTACTGAGATTGTGAGGAGGATCACGTGGACGAGCAAATGTGGCTTCAACAGTGTCCAGGCCGATGCGTAAACAGAATGGATTATTAAAAAAACTAGATGGATAATCGGGCCTAAATTCAAATTCTGGGTTGTCCCACCTTAGTAATAAAACCATCTCCATCCATCTATCCAGGTGATGAGTACAGCTTCCCCTCAAGGGTCACGCTCAGTCAAGTTACGCAAGGCCTGAGATAGCCGGAGGTAAGTTTTAGGCGTATAACGTAAGTACGGGCTGATGACAATCTTAATGGGTCCATATACGGTTGAAATCAGGGCTGTTCAATTCACTGGTATCCAGCTGGCCTTTTAAGCTGATTTCTGACTGTTCTAGACATTTGTCTTGTTACAATGGTCTACAAAATCGACATGCTGCTTGCTGTTTATTCAACGTTATTCTCCCATGTTGCGGACTTGTACGTGTCCACCTGTATTCTTACAACCACAGGTAAGCATCACTGGCACGTGATTACTGTGATCAACACATCAGCTCACATTTGCGAATCTCGTTTATTTCTTCAGGGTGACGGTTAATGATGGATCACCCCCAGACGGAAGTACGACTCAATATTTATCAAGAAAAGTTAGCTTACAGTACAATAGAAGTAGGTCCACATCGGTGACAGCCTTTTCATTGGGAAAGTGCGTATCAACAAACACATTCGTCTACTTTATTGCTGACCCAAGGAGACACCCTCCTGCAGTTGCGATTATCGGATAAGCAAACCACCAGAATAGCCAGGAGAAAATGGTCAAGCGTGATTACTAAGTTACCTGAGTATTTGAAGAAAAACATTGAATCGTATAGGTAAAAGTAGAAGCATAACTGGCATAATGTTACTTCCTCAGCTGTATCTAAACATAAGCTACTTTCCGTTTTCAACTACAGATATTCTCTTCCCAAAGCTTTTTAATCCCGAAGCTGCCTCCCTTCAAGAGCAGTGGAAGGAAATAATCGAGAATGCTCGGTACTGGCTTCTACATTCTTGCTCCAGCGAGACACTGCGTCAGCAGCTGCAAGTTCTGCACGAAAAAATACTGGACATTGCCGGCTCTGTTCGTCAATTGTCTAACAGGATGCCACGACAGGATGTAAATAACCCGAAAAATGAATCCGAAGATCCTTGGACAAGCGAACATGCCTCGATCCAAAACATGATACAGGTAACGAAATATATAGATGAATTGGTTGTGGAAACCGTCCATGAGAATCGACAATGACGTGTGACCTTGTTATGAAATATTACGTATAAAGAACGACGTGGTACACCCTACCTCGTTCAAATTTAGGCGTTAGACCACTCAGCTTTCCATAGTGTGGAGAGAAATTATTGTCTTTCCTCTCCTCAATTTTCTGTTGGACTTACAAATTTTGCTTCAACTGTCGACCTCAGAGGGTCATAGAACAGTACTCAATAGTGTGTGCTGTTACTTCATAACAGTGAAAGTTGAGACAACTTTCTTGTGCAGCAGTAACCAGATAACTCCATGAAGTCTGTGTTACACTCAGTGCAGGACGCTGTGTCGGGACTTTGTAAAATTTATTCAAAGAACCAGTAAATGCGCTCTCTCTAATGACAACTTCTACTCTGCTTGCACTGTAGAGATACCTCTCCGAACTGAGACGCCTGAGTGGACAAATGCAGCGGCTTTATGGAAAGTTCGAGCGGCGCTTTTTCCGACAACAGCACATGTCACTGGCAGAGGATGCAGTTCGCACGTTTGCCATAACCAACTCAGAACTTCGAGGACAACTGGAGTGTCTTAACTCGCAGCTTTTAGCAACCCAGGAAAGGTAAATTACATTTGTCAGTGTGCCAACCGTTCAAAAACCTCAGAAGACATCTTGTAATTTTTAAGCGATATTTAAAGATTAATGAGAAGTGATACCTACTCAAACCTTTACTTTCATGTTAATAACAGGCTTAAAAAATCAAGTGTTATAGATGTGAGTCGCCAAAGACCAACTAACCAGCAACATTCGACGCTTTACTTATGAAACATCCGGGGGCCTCTCTGTTTGTTAAGGTTTGGGAAATAATGAGTTTGTATATATCATTCCAAACGCCAGTGTGTTTTGTAGCAAGTAAGAAAAAATCAAACCAACCAGAAGATATGTGTACAGCATATGCAGAAAGTCTTTCCGTAATTACCTAATCGATGCAACCTAAGTTTTTTCCAAAAGTGACCGCCCTCGATTCCATGGTGAATCTAGCTCGTTCTCAATTAAGACCATCACATTTCACACAGAACTAGCTCTGTCAGCTGTTTGGGCTACAAACATAGTCAAGTAGGGTCGAGTTGCAAACGAACGGATCAAGAAACCTAGCATCATTGGAACGCTCGGTAAGCATGTGAGCGCTTTCTGCTTTGCTGTGAATGAACTTACCGAAACCCGTCTCAAGGTTTGGTCATCCCCATATAGGGTCCTGCTCAAATACATAAGTTTTAATCGCTGAGAAGCTTGATCCCTCCAGTAGAGCAGCCGTTAAGTCCCCCCTCGAACATTTGATATCTTTCCTGCACAGTTTTGATTAAACTGGTTTTCTACAGAAGTGCTTAGAAAGTACGTCCGGTCAGCTAGAGATGGGTGCTTTTCAGAAATCTTGCCCGCAAGTAGTAGAACTCATTTACTTGCTATATCTTAATGTCTCAAAAACGTTAACTGCCACATTAACAGAGCGGATTCCGAAGCTTTGAAAAACGCCACCATGAAAAGTGGTAGAGGCCACCGCGCAGAAATGTCATCCCTGAAGAACAGTATAGATTTCGCTACAAACGGCCAGTAAAGCACCGATTTTCTTCTGAAACTAGCCATCCACCCTAAAAGATACTGTCTTGGACCACACACACATAACCAGTATCATGACGATGACAGAAGTAAATATGATGGTTGGATGTGCACAACACCCGTCGGTTTACCATTGAGGAAGTAACCATGAAAACTTACTTAGTTTGGTAGGCTAATTGAGACTAAAATGGGGCGGTCTCCATCTGTAACAGGTATTACACGCTAATTCAACAAATAATGTAGCTTGGGACGTCAGGAAGTCAGCGGTATTCAACGTTCGAGAGGATGTAGCGACGGCACACGTCGGTTCTGAAACGTGCAGATATACGGACTGGTATTGATGAATCCACACGGTATACACAGCACACATGCGAACAGGTCGGGTGGGACAGAAAAGAACACCGGAGCGTGGCAACGACACACGTGTATTAAACCGAAACCGAAACGGGAAGACGGGGATACAAAGTCAGGTCAAGGTCAATCAGGGGGGGGTGTACAAGAGGGTTACTCTTTCCTGCCCGGGGCTCGTGGTAGCTCGTCCGTGATACCTGCAATAGGGGGAGAGAGAGAGGCACACATAAGGTCATATGAGAGACATGCAAGCAGATACAGTCGAGTTTCAAATGCGTTACACTAGCCAAGTACAGACAAAGCGCCTATTCCACAACACTGACCTCTAAATTAGGTTCAATCAGTATTTCCACCGCAGCGATGATTCTCACATTCATGACACCACGGAGTGTACCTTTGAAAACTTGTCACTTACTCAAGTGTTCGGTTCACGAGTTGCGGCCAACAAAAGTACTGTTAGTAAGACTTCAAGCAAGCGTTGTTCCGCCGGTAGATAATTGTAGAATTCGTGGCAGGTGTATTCACATCGTTCTCGCACTGTTATGAGTTAACTGGAATAATACGATAAGTAGATGGTTCAAACAAGCCATTTGAGCATAAAAGCTGGTGGTTTAACAATGACGTGTGAAGATTTTACTTGGTCACGCATCGAACAGCTCAAAAGGATTATGCCACTTTTCCATGCCCTGGTATTCTCAAATAACAATGGTATTTCTTCACTTTCTCATTCCGTTTGAAATAAACTGGACAGTCACTGTTTCAAAGGTGGATGAAATAGGTCAACCCTAACAAGTTTTCTGTGAGGTGCTCCACATGCCTTACACGCCTTGTCTCATTAAGATTCCACATACTGATTCTCACCTAGTCTCGACAGTTGTAGTCATGAATCAGAGTAAATTGTAAGAACTGCACAATGTGATGGGGCTACGCACACGACAAACTACTCCGGAAAATTCCATAAAAATATCCAACTTGAGAAACATTTATTGATTTCAGATTTCTGCATGCCTAAGGTTTTTCCCTGGCTATGAATGGTTATATATAGTTTAACTTATCTTTACATTAAAAAAAGAGCCGCATATAGTACCGGGGAGAAACAGTACATTCAGTGCTGCCATGAGCTTTTGAAAAAAATAATTTTTTGGTTGATAGTTTTGTGATCTCTCTTTCCAGTTAACACACGTCGATAGTTTATACAACCAAAATAGTACGATGCATACAGGCAAAATGAATACATAGAGAATTTTGTATAAGAGCACGAGATTTGTGTACGTCACAGCCGAGTGGTCTTTGGGACCAGCTATCACCCGATGAGTCCATGAAAGGCACATTTACAGTACAAACACTTCCTGGTTGCACGTATTGCAGTTGCCCTATTGGGGGACATCTATTGATATCCAAAGGGTATCGATAGGAAGATGGGGTTTTGTAAAAATATTTTCAATGCTGTGTTTGTTGTATGATGAGCCAATCAGACGACTTTTATCAGCCCAAATGTCACCCAGTCAAGGTGAAAAATTTGATACAGCCAAAACAGGACAAAGTTCTGTGTCTCTTTTCAAAACAGCAGTCTTATGCGCCATATGCATTTTTCTGTAAAATAACAGGCAAAGGAATAGACTACCGTGCATCGACAGTTTATATTTGAGATGTAGGAGCACCAGGTGAATAGTGGTTGACCACACTTTGGGCGAAACGGTCAGAAAAGTTTGCTACCAAGTCACATAGTATGTAGTCACTTGTCCTTTGAAAATGAGACTCAGAAAATAGATGTCCTTTCTATCGTGAAGCTGTCCCTGCAGTGAGTTTCGAGAAGCAAGCTTGCAAGCAGCTGAAAATGCGCTTTAAATCCACTCCTAAATTAGACTTCCCTCACAATGTCGGTAAACTTCTGAATTAGATCTGTTTCCCTTTCATACGGATGGAGTTGTTGAGTTAAGAGTACTGCGTCGTCCATACCAGACCTTAACCTGAATAGATTCTCTTTGCAATTGTGCACCCAGTGTTAGAATGGGCTAAATGTGTTTCGTTGAAATAGGTTCAAACACTCATGAGTTTCCTTCGAATCATTTCACTAGGTGTCCATATTGTACACAATAACATTCATTTTGTAAACAAGGATTAAGGAATGTATTGAGTACTTTGTGTCACGATTCGCTGGCTTCAGACAGTGTAGCATGCGGAGCGTTCACTGCGTTGGGAGTTATTGAAGAGCTGCTGAATTAGAGTACGCAACACAGTATTGAATATGCTTGGCCAGTTTTCCGGTTTCTCAAAGCAAACGAGGATAAACTATGTAATGCTTGCAAACTATAAACTCGAAGCTTTTCCATCTCCGAATCAGTGTTTCACTCACCCTACCGATTTTGTTTGCGTCTACTGATGCGATACAAAATTCTCCTCCATTCATGCCAGCTTGGTGCAATCAGAAATTATACGGTTCTACTGCAGAAAGTGTAAAGTAACTGGTAACAGTGTGACCCAAACGTGACCTCATATTGCCTACTCAATTAGGATAAAGAGGAAAAACGGCAGTCATCGTTTGGTTTCTGTCATTTCATAAGTGCTCATCCTTATTAAACAACGTTTAAATCTTTCCTAAAGACTTACCCGAGTCACCCGGGTGGACGTTTCCAGGAGAACATCGAGCAATCTGTCAACCAGTCGTTCTTCCCAATACCGGTCAGATGTATCCGAGGGAGCGTCCCCGAAAAGGGTATGTCATTCGAACAAACAACCTTCATTATCTTTCTTATCATCCAATGCCGGTTTTCTAAACCCAACTGCTAACCATGAGCATGTTGGTGCATGAATTAGGAACCTATCATTTTGTACACAATTAGATATATTTGAACTTTTCATGTGGTTGACGGAAACTCGGGGACTGCGCCTATCTGATGAGCCCCAAGCAGGGCGAAACCGGTCGTGGGCTGTCGAAGAGTTTTCAGCAACCTTGTGAGTAGTTTCCTTTATGAAGATTTTCATAAGAAACTTCAGCAAACTTCTTCTTATTGGTGAATTAACTTGGGACAATAATATCGCGTAATATTCTCCATTACTTATGGGTCAATTAGAAGGAACGAACCCAAACTGTTCCCTACAGATGGAGAGTTAGTGAATAGTCGTAATGTGGTAACCAATGCTATAATACCAGCTGCTATGATCCGAATGGACATTGAATTAGGGTGCCGCAAGAAATTTAGACTTTAGTTCAGCACTGCTTAGATCTATACTACCCACTTTGATACAAATTTTACTCGGAGCTTATTCTTTACCGGCGAAATACTTGCTACAACTATTTGTCTGGCTGGTGACAAGCTTAATTGGATTTACCTAAGAGCGAATATGAAAAGAACGGGGGAAATTACCTTAGGAAACTTTAGACTTCACTGAAAAGCCGGTAACATCATTTTATCTGCTACAGTAAGTTGGCCTGCAGTAAATCGTGCGGGTGATTTGGCGCTCTGGCAAGGTTAGGGTCAGTTAACGACATTTTTGTTGCACAGGCGCGGCTTTACAATCGCTAGAATGCTTTTGCGTGGAAAGAACAAAGCCGGAGATTTCAGGATCTCCCTGCCCTTGTAAAACGCCCTAACATCTGTTTTTCCGAGGTAATTGTATCCGACGCATGAAATTGTGAATGCCTCTTCTCAGTTAATTCACCACCAGCGCCCAAAGCAGAGACCGCTCCTCTTGCCATCGCCTGAGATTCGTTGTCCGTAGGCCAACTTATGAAGTGGCTTGTTAATCTTTTCTCAGTGAATAAAATGAAACAGGGCCTTAAGTTTTTGCTACAGACATTTGTGTTTATGTCAGACAATTGATATGAGCGTCGCAATGTCAAAATATTAGCGCTCTCCTTTTATGTATTCTTTTTCATCAAAATTGTGGGGCAGTCTCTAAACTTGATTGACGCTCCACCGTGTCATCTGAATCTTGATACAAGTTGTCCTTCGTTTACTACCAGATCTGTACCTGCTGCGTGGGTTGCGAAGACGTCGCCTACCTCGGACCGTATTCTTCCAGACCACCACCAAAAACCACCTGGTACGGGAAGCACATTACAAAATGTGGCCGCAGATACATTATTGTCCTAGTGGCGGGTGGTCTGGTGTTCCTGTCGTGTTTGTGTTGCTACATTATGATGAAAGTAGCTTCCTGTGACTCGTCTCCCGAAACCTGGAGAGCAGTATTTATCATTCTTGGAGAGTGGTTTCCTTTTTTATTTGATACTTCCCCCTTTCCATGCCCACTAAGACGAGAACGTTTATCAGGCATTTTGGACTACACGTATGGTTCTAGCCCTATCTGAACATCCGTTCCTTTTTGATCGTCCTTTGACCATCTGTACACAAATTCAGTGAACCTCTTGACAAGTGAATCATCTGTGAAAAATCATCTTATCGGCACCAATGCGTGTATATGTGCAATCCTCAGTCCCTACGTTGCCTTAAGTTTATCGAGACACTTTTTCATACTGTGGTTTTTACTTCTTTCTTACCAGTGTTCTCCGTGCGAGTTACTCAAAGCATCCCTAATTTGCATGCAATCTTCACTCATATTTCTGCATGATTAAATATAGCCTATAGATTTTTCGACGCTATTCAGCGGTGCAGACGTGAATGTGGTATTCATTCTTTGAAAATTTGTCCGCTAGAAGTATTCGAATAAAGATGAATGAACAGAAAACTTCTTCTTACAAATGGTTCTACATCATGAAGGCTAAGTTTTGTCAATCTCAAAAATGCGATTCCTCAGATAATTCGCTCAGATGGGTACCCCGCTGAAGCAGCGGAAGGCGTACACAAGGATTCGAGGTCATATTGCTTTTTTCAGTACTGCACAACCAGCAACCGAACCTCAGGAATGTTGTGCAGTGATTCAAGCCAGAGAAATCTCAATACATATCCTCTTAAGAGGGGAAATATTATGGAAAGAGAGTTTCTTCATTGATATCCCCCGTTCAGGGGAACAAACGTCCGTCCCCCAATATGACTGATTTGACGCTCAAACGAAAAAATGACACCACAGGCGCCTTGAACCACCAACCCCTATTTATTCATATATACCTGGAATTTTTCCATCAAACCGGGCCACTCGTTAGCAATCAAGTAGTTATTCGTACATATTTCCCTCGTAGGATCGTTTGCAAAACTAAAATTTCAGCTGAATGTGCAGCGAAATTCGGCCCTAATAGTTACAGTAAGAGCCTGTCGTTTCCGCCGGGTATCTTGTAAGTCACTCTGACTGAGGCGCGATGTTGCGAACCCACAAAACGGCTGGTTTGGGACATTGCCACCGATGCTTCCCCGCCATCCCCCCCAACTAGCACAAACTTGATAAGGCTAGCTGGCAACCATTGGATTGGCTCCCAGCCCACGCTACCAGTCACCTCCGTGAAAAATTACAAAACATATTCTGCGAACCCATGCCGAACTTCTGCCTCAACACTGAATAAAATTACCAAAAAGAGGTGAAGCTGTATAAATAATCTCTACAACTGATTTGGCCCATACTTTAGAGAAAGCCTTGGTACGCAAGTAGGCATCTTAGCCCATGTATAAATAGTGCGTGCCACTAGGTTGCTCTAACCAGACGACACGGGTAAATAGGTGAAAAAATGTCAAAACTTCTGCCCTGCAAAATCACACTCATCCTCAAGTTGACAGCTACGGATACTGTCAGCACAACTTTCCTCCAATTTAGTCTGACGTCTTCTGTCTTTCAAATGAAGAATCAAATAACAAACAAGTTAGACTAGTTGACCGGCGATCAGACCAATTTTCGTGATATTCCACAAAAACCCTTGGGTATGTGTGTACAAAAGTTGCATTCTTTCGCACGAGTTGTCATAGTATTCTCCATCACCTTCTTAAAATGGACAATCAGTCACAACTCTAAAAAATGGAACCAAGAAACATGTTTTAACCAACGGTTTTCTCTCCCCTAACACGCTGCTGAGAGCAAAAAAACGCAAAATGCTCTGGAATGTCCTGTTGTTCGGAATGCCGGTTTATTCATGTTGCCCCAAGGTTAAGACTTTTTTCAACAGAATTCGTTCCACGTGGCTCGCGCTCACAGTTACACAACCAAAAGAGTTTCACCCATATTGAATCGCGGTTGAAGCTCACTTTCAAGCTTTTCTACACTCTGTTGGCGGTGATAAAAAGCCGCTATCATACTCACTTTCAGGGAGTTATAAAGTTAATTTGCTGCTGTCTTTTGGGTTCAGTGATCTTCATGACGTTTATGTCAGAACAAAATGTATTGTCACTTGTTTCAAAATATGTACATCACCAACTACCCATTAAAGGTGTGCAGCTTGGGCACCCCAAACCCTGCACAAGAAATACCAGCAGGCTCAATGCACTGTTGTTGACGGCTACTGCTCAGTATGTCCTGAAAATTTTCCTTTTTACACGTCAATGTTCAGAGGTACATTAGAGGTCTTCCGTACTGTCTGTTGAGGAAGGACGGTCGAAGTGACCTAAACGCCCAGCTTACATTTAGCTAATAAACTCTCGAAATTTGTTTACTTCGAATTTATTGCCTTTATGGGGCGGGAGATCTGCGACTGTCCCGATGCCACCATAAAAATTGTACTGTGCTCTTTTCGGAATGACTTATCTTCTTGTGTGGTCCATTTGGTGGCTCATGATGATTGGCCCGCTTAGCCGCTGCCTCAGTGCGTGCACCCTACCGCTGCCCGCTTGCCAAAATGCTTTCCGTTTTTTACCTCTTCGACATCAGAAATGGATGGTGCCCTAAACCCACCTGACGCAAACTTCCCGGCCAAGTTAAATGCCACATTGTTAGCTCGTCTCTCTTATTCTTGTTTAGTCTACCCTCCGTCGCAGCCGCCAAAGTTCACCTGGCTTACTGGCGCAGGTTCATCCAACTATGGTACTCCTCCAATCACTTCTGATAGTGAAATCTACCTGAGTCGATTTCTAAAATACTCCGGCTTTTGCTTCAAATGTGCGTACCCTGGAACGAATGCGTAGCACTAAGAAGGTTGTACTCGGTCAAGATGACGCTTTACACATCTAAAATCAAAGCTTAAAGCCCGTTCCTTTACCTTTGAGAACTCCAGACTTGGGTTTAGTGCCCCTCACATCTTCGATCCTGGTTTAAACTACAAACCAGGAGTTTAAAAAGTGATATGGAAAATATCCATCAAAAATCACATTTTTCCCCATCACAGATTGCAAACTTGTCCCCTAGTTCAACAATAACTTTGTCAAGTCTGGCAACGATGGTTCTGTATGCTCGTTGATTTCTCCTACATTTAAATTTCACGACCAACTCCTTAGCATAGTAGCTGATATCCAAATGACCACTGCTGCCTTCAGCCACCTTCAAGGCCCCATTGTTAAACTCTACTTTCATCAGCTCTACCGGATTGGGCAACTTCAGACCAACTGCAGGAACTTACTTTGCCGGGACTCTCACAAGCAATTTTTAAGATTTGCGGAGACCGCTTGAGTTCAAAATCTCTTCATGCACATCAGAGCAGTTAACGTACTACCCATGCTCCTTTTCGCCGGGATAAGTGCCGCGTTCAATCTGGACAACAGGACAGTTCAGTGGTATCCAAGTGTCGTCCTATTGCCTCAGCTAGGCTAATCTCGAAAAAGGCTCACAATGTGCAGCACGAGGAAACAGTAGTGTATCTGGTCCAGTTTGTTGGCTGTTGGAGCCACGCATCTGCTCAACTCCCTTTTCCATCATGGAGCGTCTGCAAAATTTGTCAAAACCACTAAAATCGCATTCCCTTCTGATGTTCTGATGAACTCCGTGCAGTCGGAGTTGAAGCAAATAGCACTCAGCAGCATAAAACTGCAAATAACACATTCGCTTAAGTACAGTAATACCATACTAAAAATTTTAGCTCTCCTTGTTATGGGCCAGTCAACTTCTTATGCGTGATAGCTCCTTAAGTGCTTAAGATGGCATACATGCAAGAAAATCGTAGAACATGCCAAAAATCTGTATCATCGAACTGTCGCCCCCGAGTTTCTTAAGAATTCCGTCCTCCTGCTTAATCAGTACTAACCTGTCCCGTTTCTGCGAATGATGAGACTGTCATGACATGCTCCGATTTAAGGTACTCTGGCACTGATTTTTGGCTTAACGTGAAGTCAACCCACATACTGGTTTCAAATTTTACGTCCCATCCACACTGTCTGGGACTTGTCATCATTTCTACATTCGACGACCGGCCTCTACTATCTCTGAACACACTGACTGCCTCCGGCGGCCAGCAAAATTCACCGCTGACACAAGAGGTGTTGCGTCTTCAGAACCCTGACTTACGGTTGTTCTTGGTTTTAACATCAACATCTCATCCGCCATCACAGCACATCCTCTGCTCCATGTCGGAGCCTCGTGCCGACTTAACTTCGTAGCGCCTTCTAGTTCTTCGTCCATGACACATGCAGTGCTTATTTGTTCTTGGCATGTTTAGCCCCCTTGGCCATCCCCTGCTACATGTCCTCATCCCTCTTCAGCAGTTGAGTAGCTGCTGTTGGGGTCCGCCGCAACCCCTGAAGGCTTAACTGCCGGCCGTAACCACACAACCGCCTTGAATTTCTGTATTTGTACTTTAAATTTACGACCCCTCCATTGCAGTTATTTAGGCAGTAAGCTCTCTTCAAACCTTTCTCCACTTACCTGGGTTAGCCTCAATTCTCTTCCCCACTATCTCCCGCCTTCTACACTCCCTACCTTGGTGCGCTTTTTATGGGTCCCGTATGTAATCATTAATCAGCTTAGATCGGAAATCCCAAACCCCATCCCCAACCCAGCGATACAAAGGCGCTCCTGTGCCCATCTTCTCATCCTCTCTTAAGTGGTATTTCAAGGCTCCTCCCTCCATGACTTCTGGCCTTTCTTTATAATGGCACCACCCCAGCACTTCCATTTCATGTGAAATAATTTCCAGTACAGGTGCCAAGCTGCTGGACCGCCTACCGTTCTATGGTGTCACCAAATCAGGGCTAATTTGGACCTGCTTGCGTCGGAATCCCCTTTTTCTAAGGACATTACGCTTGCCTGTGGTGAACATTGACTCTATTCAATTCATTCGTTTAGTGCATTTTTATATGCCTTTGTTTTACGATGCGATTGATGGTACGCCCGCGATATTCGAGAATATACGGTATTCACTTGTCCATATTCGGACTTCTATACTACGCGTACACTCGGTAATTAAGATACCTACCACTATTCTAATTATCACATTTGGCGTCGCGATCCGGAATTTTTTCTCTTCATCACAATGTTATCTGAATTGGAATCGCTCACTGTAAATTCAACTGCACGGGAGATGGAGCGCCTCAGCATTTGGTGTCTTACCAAATCGGATCTGGATGATAAAAAGAAGACAGCTTATTTCCTGCACTACATTGGGAAGGATGCTTATGCTCTTGTGAAGAATTTATCATTCCCTACGGCGCCGATCGATTGCACATTCGATGTTCTAAAGAAGTTAATTCTCAGTCATTTTAAGCCTATCAATTTTGTGGCCGCAGAACGAGCGAAATTCAATTCGCTTATTCGATCCGAATCTCAGAGTATTCGTGATTTTGTCCTCCAACTGCAAACACAGGCTGCAAAATGTGACTACGGCCAACAACTTGAAAGCCAACTGAGTGATCGCCTCATTGCCGGAATTAATCTTCCAGATCTACAACAAAAGCTCCTAGTACAGACTGATCAACGCTTCATATCGATCAGAAAAATTTGCGAGCAATACCAGGATGTTAAAGAAGTAACCAAATGCAACGAGACCGTTTTATTTAATGCACTAAAGTCGAAAGGGCTGGAAGGTCGCCCACACGGTAAATTTGAAACCAATATGCGTTATCATAACAAAAACAACCAACTGAATTCGAACATTCAAAATCGTCAAATACGCCAACCAAAAAAAGTTCTTGGCAAATGTGCTTCGTGTGGACAGGACCACTCCAGATATACTTGCATACATCGCCAATCAAAATGTTTTTCATGTGGTAAGATTGGGCATATTCAGAATGTATGTAAGTCCAAAAGAGTTTGTAGACTGACTGTCGACTCAAATTCTGATATCAAGCCTTTGACTGATAACATCTCATCCATGTCTTTATCTGTTTTATCGAATTCTATGCATGTGTCGAAGACGCTCATATCAGGCTCTGGTAAAAAGCATAGTTTTATCATTGATACTGGCAGCGTCGAATCCATTATTCCTGAGTCAGATCTTATAGCATTTTATCCTACTGCTGTTTTAAAACCGACACAATTATCTGTTAGAGGTATCACTGGACATGCTTTACCGCTTCTTGGTTCATGTACTATACCAGTCAAAGTTTCCAGTGGTAACTTTGTTGATTGTAATTTTCTTGTATCGAATTCTGGTCCTTCAATAATTGGTCTCAAAGTTTTACGTGCGCTTAACGTTAACATTTCACTACTTACTTCAAATTTCAACGAAACCGAATTGAAACAACTGATCACGAGCTGCTCCAAAGTCACCGGAGGAATGCGCATACCAAAAGTGAAACTCGAGGTTTCTGGTGATCCGATTTTCCTCAAACGACGTATAGTACCTTTTGGTTTGCGTGAACCAGTGCGTCTAGCTCTAGATTCATTGTGCCAAAAAGGTATTCTGACACCTGTCGAGTCTTCCAAATGGGCTACGCCGATTGTTACGCCATTAAAGTCTGATGGTAAAACTGTTAGAATTTGTGGCGATTATCGATTGACACTCAACAAAAGCCTACTTCAACGCTCGTGTGCTACAGAAGAACCTGAAGATGTGTTGTATCGTCTAGCGGGATCAAAAATCTTTTCAAAAATAGACTTGAAGGATGCATACTTGCAGATACCACTTGATGATGCTACTAGTGAATGCACAGTCATCAATACACCATTTGGATTATATCGGTATAATTTCTTGCCATTCGGACTTAATGTCTCTCCTGCTGTATTTCAAGATGTGATTAATTCAATTACTGACGGTCTTGAAGGTGTTGTAACTTATCAAGATGACGTGATAGTTCATGCTGTCGATAAGGTTACGCACGATTCACGCTTGCTTGCATTATTCAAAAGATTTCATGACTTAAATGTTGCCGTTAATTCTTCGAAATGTGCATTTTCTGTTTACAAACTATCATGTTTAGGCTACACTGTTGATGGAAATGGTTTTTCTCCTGATAATGAACGTTTATCGCCTTTAGTCAATGCTCCATCCCCTTCTAATCTGTCCGAACTTCGTTCCATACTTGGTGCATTGCAATATTATTCCCGGTTCATACCTAACTTTTCTCAGAAAGCTTATTGTCTATTTGAACTGTTATCTCTGAAAACATTTTCATGGATATCTGAGCATGAGAAAACTTTGCGTTCTTTACTCAATTATCTTAAATCTGACGCTATTTTGAAACCATTTTCTGCGAAAGATCATTCAACTGTTATAACTGATGCGTCTCCAACTGGATTAGGTGTTATTCTCGAACAAAATGGCCGTCCTGTCATTTGTGCATCCCGTCGACTAACACAAGCCGAACAGGGCTATTCTCAAACACAGCGTGAAGCTCTTGCTGTCTACTGGGGTGTAAGTAGACTACACAAGTATCTTTTTGGTAAACCATTCACGATTGTGACCGATCATGAAGCCTTGAAATTCATATACCATCCTATGAAATCATTGGCTAAGTCATCCGCAGCCATGGTTCAACGTTGGAGCATCGCTCTCAGTTCGTATACATATGACATTATTCATCGTGGTGCTAAATCCATTCAGCACGTCGATTATCTATCCAGAGTTCCAGAAAGTTTATCACAATCTAATGTTTCTGATTGTTTGTTAGTACAACCGCTTCCGATTAAACGAGACGAGCTTGTGCGTGATACCCGAAAATACTTTTCATCCGTTATCTCTGCATTAAGACGAGGATGGACGCACCAAGAACGTCGTCGATTTCCCGCATTTTATGCTCGTCGAGACAGTTTAGCATTG